TCTGCCTTTTCCCCCCACTTTACTATTTTGCTTTTGTTTGAAGCACTTTGCCAGACTTCCTATTTGCTAAGAATTCTTAATGCTGATTCTGCTTTACTGGGGACCAGTTTGTTTTCACATCTGGTCTACAGTCTAAATACTGTTTTGTAGCTTAGTGGTGTGAAATGAGAGGCAAGCAATAGGAACCCACTTAGTATGCTGACTGGGGCCCAAGTCACTGGGCCTGAGGTGTCTGTCATTCCTATGTGCTTAGCTTATTCTCCACACTCAGAACAGTGTGGTGAGCAATGATGAGCACTCTGATTCTTTGGCCTTTGCTCAAGTCCCTTAGTGTTATGCTTTAGGAACTTCTACTGGATCCCTTTACTCCTCCTGTGCAGTTTCCACACAGCTTTTGTTGTTCGTAATTGCTCTCATGAGCTTTCACTTCTCTTTTCCCCATTATACTGCTTCTGGGAGGTGACTTTTATAGAGTTAGTATTAAATATTTGTTGAACTAAAAAATTAAATTGCTTATTGGAATTACAAAGTAATTTGGGGATAAAAATGAAAAGCTTGGGGCTAGGGTTGTAGCTCAGTGGTAGAGTGCTTATCTGGCATGCATGAGGCACTGGGTTCGATCCTCAGAACCACATTAAAAAAAAATATCCACCTAAAACTAAAGATACATAAATAAATAAATTTAAAAAATTAAAAGCTGTTACTGTTTAAAAGATGTTAATTGTTGATTGACAATATAAAGTCATGGAAAAATAACGTAATTTGAGGATGATATCAATAAGCTATGTTCTAGTTCTGACTCTATAACTACTTTTTTGTTTTAGGGAGACTCAGTCCTACTGATAGCTTTAATTTACATTTCTTGATTACTAGTGAGATAGAAAATTTCTATATTTATTGGTATAAATATTAAATGACTTGGCTGGGTTTTTTTCATAGCTTATTTCTCAGTTGATTTAAAAAAAAATTTTTAGTTGTTGATAGACCTTTATTTATTTATATGTGGTGCTGAGAATTGAACCCAGTGTCTCACACATGTCAGGCAAATGTGCTACACTGAGCCCCAGCCCCTCTCAGTTGACTTTTGGGTCATTTATGTTTGTGTGTTTTGCATCAAAGAGGCAACAAATACGAATGTTAACTTTGTTATGTGCAGAGATTTTGTTGTTGTTTTAAAATATATTTTTTTAGTTGTTGATGGACCTTTAGTCATTTATTTATATGCAGTGCTGAGAATTGAACCCAGTGCCTCACACATGTGAGGCAAATGTTTACCACTGAGCCACAATCCCAGCCCTTGTTGTTGTTGTTTTTGATGCTGATAATTGAACTCAGGGATTTCATTCAGTCTAAAATAGAGTTTCATTCCTTCTATATTTACATATTAGAAGGGGTAACTAATCCAGAAGTAGAAACCACAGTGAACAAATCTTGTCTGTGAGGGTGGGTTGGAATTTGGATAGATTCATGTACTCATGTATGTGTATTTGTGTGCTTTTTATTGTTTAGGATAAAGCCAGAACAATATTGGATAACATGAGGAAGCTGGAGAAAGAACTATTCAAAAAGATGGAGTCAGTCCTCCAAAACAAGCATCTTGATATGGATGAAATTGCTAATCTCTTTCCTCAGAGTACAAAAGATGAAATTAGAATTTATAAGGCAAATATTACTTCATAGTGAGTGATCATAGAAATGGTGGAAATCTCCCTTAAAGTCAGAATCCATTGTCTTGAGGTAAACCTACTTAGCTATTATTCTTTAATAGCATTCAAGTGATAGTTTAACTGTTAAAACTCATATAGTTTTGCTGAGATACTGACAAAGAAAACATTGGAACCAAACACATATATCATGGGGTAGCTAGGTGTTATTCCAGGCAATTATTTCTTTTAGCCACAATAACTTTTTTTTTGTCACAATAATTAAGTACTCAGGTGCTGGGGTTGAGGCTCAGTGATCCAGCACTTCCCTCTCATGTGTGAGGCATTGGGTTTGATCCTCAGCACCATATGAAAATAAATAAAATAAAAGTATTGTGTCCATCTACAACTAAAAAAAATTAAGTATTCAATTCTATATAAAGCATAAGACATTAATATAATGCATGGATTTATACTTATAATTTTGTAGTTCCCTCAAATCATTTTATCAATTATTTTAAGTTTTTTTAGTAATGAAAAAAATATGAAGTAGTGAGTTTTCTTATGCTTTAGGCAAATATTAACCAGTGCTAACAAGAGAATTTTCTAGATTTACACACTAAGTCTTTATCATTGTATTAATTCTGAAAATACACTTTCATTCAAACGCACTCTATATCAAGAGTTGGCTTACCAGTGAACTTATAGCTCCAATTGTTTAGCCTTCCACTGTCTCTTAGAAACCACTATTTAGTTTTTAGTTTACTTTGTTTTGCTTTCCCCAGAATGTTGGAATCATACAGTAGGTGTTCTTTCAGATTGATTTCTCTTGCTTACTAGTAATATATACTTAAGTTACTCCGTGTTTTTCATGACTTGACAACGCCTTTCTTTTTAGCACTGAATAATATCCCATTGTCTGGATGTATCATTACTAAAGGACATCTTGGTTGCTTTTAAGTCTTGGCAGTTATGAATAAATCTACAAACTGCCATATGCAGGTTTCTGTGTGGATGTAAAATTTCAACTTACATTGGGTAAATACAAAGTGTGCAATTGCTGGGTCATATGGTAAGAGCATGTTCAGTTTTTGTAAGAATTCGCCAAACTGTCTTCCAGAGTCACTACCATTTGCATCCCCACTAGCAATGTTGCACCATATCCTTCCCAGCATTTTTTGTGTCAGTGTTAAATTTTTACCATTCTAATAGTTGTGCAGTTGTTTCTCGTTTTAATTTGCAATTCCCTAGTGACATGAAATGTTGAACATCTTTTCATTGTTTATTTGCCACCTGGGTACATCTTCTTTGGTGAGGTGTCTGTTCAGATCTTTTGCCCATTTTGAAATCAGTTGTTTGTTCATTTTCTTATTGTTGAGTCTAAAACTCTTTCAAAGACATTGTTTTTGGGTTAAAGTCTCTTAACAAATACCACCAAGAGCCTGGTAATTAATCTTTCCTCTGTATTTATCTTATTACACTTTCACCATTGTTTTTTATGTTTCAACTATGCTGCTCTTTCAAGTCTTGGAATGTGCCCAGTTCCTTCCTCATGGCTATACCTTCTGTTGTACCATTCATTCCGTGTTCTCACCTTTTGTAGTTCTTTTAATGGTTTTGCCAAGACAGGAATTCCTTAAGGAAGTTTTCCTCAAACCACAAGGTCAGGTCTCTCTTAAATACTCTTGGAGCCACATGCTATCCTGATCACAAATTAATTATGCATTAAACATTTACACAGAACATTAAACACAGTAGAACAAAGCTCTATGAAACTAGGAATCATATTTGTTCTTACTGTTGTATGCGCAGTGTTCAGTATTGTGTCTGGCATGTAATAAATGCTATTAACAGATATTTGCAAAATGAATATTCAGATACTGACAGGAAAAATTTATACAGTCCTCTGCCTATAAAAATGCAAGGTTGCAAAAATTATCTAGATAATTTATCTATACAACTTGTTAGCTTTTGATAAGTTTCAAATCAAGCTGTTGCATCTTTCCATATTAGAAATGGGAATGTATCCCCATATGAAAGCAAGGATTATTGGGGCTGGAGCCATGGCTCAGTGATAGAGGACTTGCCTCACACGTGTGAGGCACTAGGTTCAATCCTCAGCACCACATAAAAATAAATATATTGTGTCTATCTACAACTAAAAAAGTTTAAAAAAAACAAGGATTATTAATGTATTATTAATGTATGTAATTATTAATGTAAATTAATATAATATAGCTTGACTTTCACTGTATAAATGCAATGTGGTATTGGGCTGTGAGTACTTGTGGGGGTAATTAATGCCTTGGGATATATTGTAAAAAATTTAAGGTTTTATTAAATTTTATCTATTTTAAGAGTAAAAAAATATAGTTGCTGAATTAAGCTTTTTATTAGGTCAACCCTTAAATTATGTTATAAACCAAGGGAGTCATCTAATAAATTGAGTACTTTACAAAAAGCTACGTTGTTTGATCTTGATGAAAATATCAGTTTATATATTTATTGTTAAAAAAAAGAATGTTGTCCTAGAAATAATATGCAGCCTAGAATTTTGGAAAGTTAGTTCCTTCTTGTAAAATTTTCCAAAAACAGTTCTACATAGTGAATTTTTCTCTTTTGAATTAATTACTTCAGATTTCCATCATGCCAACTGCAGAACTTTAAAATCTGTCTTTTCCTGAAGAATAGTGATAATATGTATGGTCCTGAACTGTGTTTCCAGTCATCATTCATCACATGGGTATAAGATACAAAGGGGCAAAAACCAAGAGCTGTATTCTACTGCATAACTTTTGGGTCACTAATCATTATTCTCCAAGTAAATATACTTTATCTTATTCTAAAAATATTAAAAGCAGAGCACAAGTTAGGCATGGACTTGTTCATTGAGAGTTAAGATAACAATAGACTATGCTGAAGATTAGTAAAAAAGGGGTAGATTTTAATCAAAATTGTATCAGATAATTTTCTCAGCTGTGACTCTACATATTAAAAATCATGAGATGTGGCTCAGCAGTAGAGTGCTCGCCTAGTATGTGCAAGGCGCTGGGTTCGATCCTCAGCACCACATAAAAATAAATAAAATAAAGGTATTATGTCCAACCACAACTATAAATAATATTTAAGAAAAATCATGAAATGTATGTAAGGCACTCTTAATTTCATATTAACTCACTCATAAAAGGTGTTTAGTGAATTCATAATTGGGGAAGTTTCTATGCATAGGACCTAACGGGTCATGAAGAAAGGGACAGTCTTAAGAAACTCATTTAAGAAAACATTAAGAACTTAGATTAAAGACCCATTTGATAGTATCTGTATCATTGCAGTTGCCCAAAGAAAAGATGACAGCAGTGAAAGTTAAAATAGGTAGTTTATTCAGAAACTTGCTTTGTCAGTGAGAAAGCAACAGTTACAAATATTTTCATTTAATAAAATTAGCATATCCTTAATCTAAAAACATCTCTTAAAATCCTTTATCTGAAACTGCAGATCATTCTGATCTAGGATTTTCTTTTAGTGTCTCCCATGGAAAAAGAGGTTGCAGAATCCTTTTGTGCAAATAACAGAACATATGCAGTATAACTTATTTGTATGACTTGTTCATAAATAAAAAATTTCTCCACTTGAGTTTGAGTTGCCTGCATGCATGTGAGTGAGTTACATCTCTACTGGAACAGCAATGAGGCTTTATGCTTACTCCTGAGCATTCAAAGAGTATTAACGTGGTCATATTTTTTTAGAAAAAGTTCCCCCACAAGACAGTTCTGTTTAAAACACGCCCATTCTCTAATGATAGCTTGAAATTTGTATAGGTTAATGGTATACTGAAGTAAAATTTACTTGTTAAATACACTAGGCTTCCATGCAGGTTTTTAAAAAATTTATATATCTGTTGCATTAAAAGGGCAATAATTTTCTAAACGGCTTTATATATAAAACACTAAACATGAGATAAACATTTCAACATATTTTGAGTAAGTTAAACTGACACCTAATAATTAAGTAGATGTTCAAAAATCATGTGAATAACTCCCTTTAATTTTCTGAAGATGAACTTTATCTGAGGGTGTTATGGTCTGAATGTGTGCATCCCCTCAAATTCATATATTAAAATATAATATATGGGGAGTGGGATGATACTGGGGGGTGACTAGGTAGTGAGGGTAGAGCCCTCATGAATGGCATCAGTCCCTTTCTCAGGGCTGAAGAGACAAGAGTTTTTCCCTTCTACCATGTGAGGTAACAGCAAAAGGGCACCAGCTGTAAACCAGAAATCAGGCCTTCACCAGACACTGAGCCTGCCCATGTCTTAAATCTTAGACTACACAGCCTCCAGACCTATAAGAAATAAGTTTCTGTTGTTTATAAGCTATCCAGTTTGTGGTGTTTTGTTATAGCTGCCTTAATGGACTAAGATAGCAACATTTAGTAATTTAAAAATTTATAGATTTTTTTTTAATACATAGAATTCATAGACTGAATTCTAAAGGTAGTCATAGGGTGCTATGTCTAGAAGTTCTAACTCTTGACTTGGACTATATATATGGTCCTTTTTATTCACTGCAGGGAGAAAAGTAGTAGGGTTATTATTCTGTACTATGTTGCTTTGTGCAAATAATAAGTGATACATCACATGGCAATAATTTTTTAATATTTAAATAAATATGCACAAATTACTATCTGTAGCACAAAAGTTAGAAATTGGATTTTGATGATAATATTTATGGAGGTTTTTATTCCTTTCCTAATGACATAGATTAGTACTTTGGTTAGAAGAGCAAGAAGAGACAAGCCTATTTAAAAAAAAAAAGGCAGTGATTCTAATTTGTTAACGAGTTTTTTCGAAGAAATGGACGGGGGCTGGGAGGAATAAGAACCTCTTATTAGATTCAGTAAAATTATTTTTTTTAGGAAGTGCCATCAATAAATGTAAAATTACCATAATTTTATGTCCACTTCACCAGAACATCTGTCAAATTTGACAATTAAAAAGAACTGTCAATTGGATATTGATTTTGAAGTTATAGCAAACAGTTGCAGGAAGAAATCATTTTATAATGTTGCCACACTAGTATTATTTATAGTAATTATTATATTCACTATCAGAACTTTTCCTTTTGTTTTTTTTCTTTTTCCTAGGTCACTTTCCTATGTGTTTTACATACTAAAACCACAGTGTTAGCATGGGGCGGGGGAAATGCAGCTTGTCAGATTTTACAGAAGTGGCAACTAAGACTCAGAGAGGTTCTAACTTGCCCAAGATCACACAGATAAATACTGGATCTGGGGCTAGAATATGATTCCATGGGGGATTCTCTCCTTTATCATTTAGGACTTAGGAGAAAGTGAGGATGGGGGTGAATGCTCAATTTCTTTATAGCTTTCCTGTTGGGGGCTGTTTGCACTAATAGCAGAAGTCTGTTCAGGACTCTTTTGAAGAAATCTGTAAAACAAGTACTCATCCCGAAATTCATATTCATTGGTAATATGTTGGATGACTCCCCCTTGCACCAGTCTGTCTCCATATATCACAGCTTCACCACGGTCAGAGGCAAGGCCAACTTCAATTAGCCAGTTCACCAGGTCACAGCCACAGAAGGTCCCAGCAGAAGTCTTTGCACCACACCTGTATGTCAAAGGAATGATTCACCCATATGTTCTGTAAACCTGGTATCAGCACTGTATGGTAGAGGACAAGCAAGGAAAAAATAGAAGGAAACAAGGGAAGACGGCACGATAGTTAAAAGCATGGCAGGAATGAAACTGTTCTGAATATAAAGGAATTGTTAACTTTCCTGACCCCAGAAAGACTCCTGGAGAAAAATAAAATATGCCAATAATGCTTGTGAAAACAGAAACACTTCAACAACAAAAAATGGACATAGGTAATGTCTGAATATTATATGTTATAATTTCTTATATTCTTATTTGTGCTAAGTAATTTTAATTGTCTCAGGAACATTACATATTTTTTGTAAACTCTTAAGAAGTGACTATTTTTATTAAACTACTCAAATCAAACTTTATTTCCAGCTTATTGTGCCCACAAGTAGTCTTTCTTTCCATCAGCAACCAAAGCAATCATACTTTTGTGTTTGTCAGGATTTGTTTCATTAAAAAGCAAGAAAAGAATAAGTAAGATCTGTCTTGCTACAAATCTTAAGATTTTTTAAAATGTGCTTTATAAATCTACTTCTTGATCACTTAATTTTTTTTCTTCTTAATGCAAATATGAGGTCCTTCAAATATGTTCAAATAAACAAGGAAAAGAGAAATGAAAAAAAAAAACCAAACCCAATTACATAAATTCTGTACAAATATGCAATAGACAACAAAAATCTGTCCACAAGCATCAGTCAAGCTGTAAAACCTAAAGTGCTTGACAATGGGAAATAGCGAATGAAGATTGAGATGAAATGAGAAACAGGTGACAAGAATTTAAAAACATTTTATCATAAATAAAATATATGTGTATCATATAAGAATTATAAAAAAGGTTAATAAACGAAAATGTTTCTCAAGTATGTAAAAATCACAGTATGTTTTGTTTTGAGGTGCTGGGGATGTCACCCAGGGCCTTCATGCTTGTTAGGCAAGCACTCCACCGCTGAACTACATCCCCAACCCCAGGTTACAATATTTTAACTTAGTAATAAGATCTCTTAACTTAATTCTTTGCAACTGCAAACATCATTTTGACAGAAGCCTGAATGTTTCAACCCCTGTCTGAGCCTTCTTCCTGTTTGTTGGCTTTTAATTTATAGTCCTAATGACTTCTGTCCCAGACACCAATTGAATAGTTTCTTGAAGACTGTGATCAGGCAGCTGTAACAAAAGCCCATGGAGATGTACAGAGTGTCAGAGAATGTGATGCTGTACAGGCAGTAGAACCTGGAAAGGGACAGGGAACAGGCCAGAACACTACCAGCTGGTGCCCATTCAACCATCTGGGACCAAGGCAGCCTGGCAGCCCTGCAAATGGTAAGAGCTACACTTCCCGACAGTTGGCAAGCACAAAAGGCCTGACAGAGATAACAACAGAGTTTTCTTTTTTTTAATTTTGAAAAGCAGTTGAAAAAAAAGTTGTTGATGCGGATAATATCTTGAAATAATTGTGCTCAGCCCTTTAAGGGTAGAACATTAACTTTTCTCCATAGTTTACCATTAGGCTAGGCATATCACGGACATTTTGTCACCTAATTCAAACAATATTGAGAGTCAGATTTTTAAAGAAAAGGAAAACTAAGGCTAGGGAATTGAACCTGCCTATTGTCACACAGCCAAGAAACTTCAATTCAGGAGTTGAATTCTAGTATTAACCTACACCCAAATGCTTCCCCTTTCCACCATCTAACCTAGGCTACCTTCTGATTATAATGGCATGTATATTAAATATAGTGGCATAATAGGTGCAAATAAACTATCCTATATAATTTTCAGTTATACACATGTTACTTTCCTTATGTTTTATTTTTCTTTCATGACAACCAAAAATATTTGCACTACAAATTTGTTTATTCAAAGTTGATCATTTCTTGCTGCAGTATATTCCATACCTTGAAGATATAATGTTAATAGACCAAAGGAAGATTAGGACTTGAAGTGAAATATAAGCAGCAGAATTAATTAAGAGGCAGAAATTTTATTATTATTATTTGTGGTACCAGGGATTGAATCTGGGGCACTTTACCCCAGAGCTACATCCTTTTTTTAAAAAATTTTGAGACAGGGTCTCACTAAGTTAACATGGCTGGCCTTGAATTTGCGATCCTCCTGCCTCAGCCTCCCAACTTGCTGGGCTTACAGGAGTGTGCCACCATTCCTGCCTTCATTTTGTTTTCTTGGAAACAGCATTAGTAATATGAAACAATATAACACTAGAAAATGGGAATAGAAAACCATTTCTGAATCCAATGTATTTCAAAGCTTTGTGAGAGACACTAATGGCCAACATGAAGTGAATGTTAATATTCTACCACATTCTGGTTTGTTTTAAAGTTCTCACATTTTATGTAGAAATCAGAAGTTATATGATATTTTAAAATATTAAAATCAAAATGATATGTCTTTTTCATATGCTACTTCTTAAACTATAAACTGACCCATAACTATTAGCCTATTAAAATCCAAAAATAGTTAATCTAAAATATAATTATTTGGATCTACAATGGCAATTTGCTTACCTTCTTTCCTTGACGATGTTACGGATACAGAGGTCACGGTGATAATGGATAAATTGTTGACAGGTCATTTTTATTTCCTCAGAAACAGGAGAATCTCTGTTTTCTGCTGTTTCTTTATTGTTCCATAGAAATTCAAGTCTGAAAACCAAAATTTAAGGAGTTTATTTTTTCTTACTGGAGATTGAACCTGGAACTTTGTGAAAACCTAGGCAAATGCTCTACCACTGAGTGACATCCTCAGCCCCCCCCCCACCCCCCACCATTTTTGTGGTCCTGGGGATTGAACCAGGGTCTTGTTACATGCAAGGCAAGCACTCTACCAAACTGAGCTATATCCCTAGCCCCTCAGCCCCTTTTTAAGAAATGTTTTTGTCTTGATACAGATTCTCACTAATATGCCCAGGCTGGCCTCAAACTTGAGGCCTCCCAGGAGCTGGGATTATAGATATATACTACCATGCCTGACTAAGGAGGCTATTTTTTTTTTAATTATTCACTTTCTTAAAGCTTTTTTTCTAAAACTTTATTTTACTTTTATTTTTATGTGATGCTGAGGATTGAACCCAGTGCTTCACATGTGCTAGACAAGTGTTCTACCACTGAGCTACAACCCCAGCCGAAGGAGGCTATTTTTAATGAAAGAAAAGCATGGAGAGAGAATCCTTTCTGCTCCATCAAAATGGCTGTTCCAAAGCCAGTCACCAAATTTCCCATCTCATCTACAACACAACTGATTCTGCGTTTGGTTTCCTTTTCACAGAAGTCTGGGTGAGTGACCTAATTATTTTATAAATCCTCTAGACATTTTTGGCTCATTTCAGTTTTTACTAAGAAATATTCCTTATACTACATTTTACTGTTTTGAAACACAAAGATAACTTAGAGATCAAATAGTTTACTCAATCATTTTGAAATTTTGGTATCACAGAGGCAAATACTGGGCTCTGGAGTACAGACTGGTTTTGTTTTGGCCAGCTCACACAATAGAACTGTTGAGTAGTTCACATTATGAAGCTGATAACTAAGTTCAATAACTTTCTTACTATGCTTTTCCTTCATGAAATGATTATGACCCTAACAATGAAATCTTAGTGAATAAGATGATGCTGATGCTGCAGGATAAGAAAGAAAGAAGAAGAGATACTGTTTGGGGGCACTGTTCATAGAGCAGGTAGGATGAATTCTGTTAGCACTTCTAATTTCTACTAATTTTGACTTTAAAAGCAAATGAAGTACAAAGATTTGTCCCTCTGCCTTTTCCTCCCACCTACAAGTTGCAATACTTGTTACTTTTTTAAATTCTTGATCTTAATTCAAAGAAGCCCTTTACCAAGCCAATAAAATAATTTAGAAAGAAAAATTGAGTTTTCTATAAGTTAGTTTGATAGAGGAATCCTGTTGTCAAAAGTGAAAGACAATCAAATATACACCTTTGGGGGAACACCACTTACTACTTCCCTTTCTAAAGATATGTTCAAGTTTTATTTAACTTTATGTAGCTAATGGCATAGATCGAAATCAGAGTCCATCAGTTTTTGTTAAAATGAAAATTATATTGCTCCATTTATAATAGTTCTTCCAACATTTTCTCTGCAATTATTTACAACTATGTGAATCAACAGATAACCCTTGTATGGTGTTTAGTGGTGGTCTAACAGTTTAAAGGTATAAAAATATCAGTATCTTAATATAATGGCTTTGTCATCAAATTTAGGGATATAGAGATTTATTTCTTTTTTTTTTTAATTTTTTTTTATTGGTTGTTCAAAACATTATAAAGCTCTTGACATATCATATTTCAAACATTAGATTCAAGTTGGTTAGAGATTTATTTCAAAACTAAATTTACCTTCTTTTGAAAGGCAGGATGATTAAATGTTTGTCCAATCCAAAGATTCCAAAGGAAATAAATCCCTAGGGAAGAAAACAAAATTATTTTTTCTGAATGCAGCAATAAAATTGTAAGAGTAGGAATTAAGGAAGTCACCAAATTTAGTGCTTGAAGAGGCAAACCTATAGTGTGATTAGAGCAACATTTCAAATGGAGCATACAAAGCAGGTACTCTAAAGTTCAGTACCTGGAACCAGACATGTTTGCTGCCTCTTCCCAATCATTCTGTTCTAATTATGATGGGTGATAAAAACTAGTGCTGAGCAACCATATTCCTATGACTTCTTACTAAAGAAAAATGAAAATATTTAAGGATTATATATCTTTGTTTTCTTGTTTTTGAAAAAAAAAATCTCCCACTGTGCTTAGGTATTTATTGTTTTTTTTTGTTGAAACTTCATAAATTACATAATTAACAAGTGCTGCAATATCCAATAATAATAACTGAACATAATTTATGTGAAGTGATACTGGCTAGTGGTTAGGGAAAGGGCTTGAAGGAATTGGAGTAATAAGGCAAACTGGCACCAGATATAAGCCACAGATCAGGAAATTTAGGACTGCCTGGGAGAAAGGGAGCTCAGCTGCCATTTGTGAAGCATACTGAGGTGCAGGTTGGTGGAAGGTGGGATGGAGAAGGCAATATAACATTATACGAAGGGCCCAATTTTCTTTACCCCAAACTATAAGCAGTCAGAAGGGAATATCTTTCTCCTCCTCTCCAAGAGGAAGACTGGATGAGAGTGAGGTTTGTGTGTCTCTCACTCCCTTGAACTACTTGTGTGGGAGCATTCCTGGCACTAATTCAGTTCATGACAAAGTGCTGTGCAATGAAGCTTTCTCAGCCCCAGGACTAGGAGGGCTAAGCTTGAATTGGCTTTCTAAATGCGTAATGCCACAGAAGACTGAGATTTTTCAATCTAGTATTTTATAATTCTTGGATACAAAGTCAGATCTTAATATCACAATGTAAGATATAGTTATCAAGTAAATCTTGGGAAGTTCATATTTGTTGTAATAAACTGACACAAATAACCGAGGTAATTTGTACCTTTAGATATAACCATTTGTTTCCCACAATAATGGCAAAACAAACTGGAAATACTTCAAGAAATTAATGTTAGGAAAAATCTTGCAGGAGCATTTATTGACAAGTCTTAACTAACTCTTGGCAAGTTATTTTACATTTAGTAGGCAACATACTGATTTCAAATACAATATTTTTTCAAACTGATATTCAATCTCTGGATGAGGGATGACTATTCTCTAATTAAAAAGTAAGGGGCTGAGCTGGAGATGTGGCTCAGTGATAGAGCACTTGACTAGCATATGCAATATCCTGGGTTTGATCCCCAGCACCACCCCCGACACCCACAGTTAATGACAAGATCAAATTTTGAAATTTGCACCTAAAAATATTTTCCAATATGTAAAACGTATTGGTAAATATGTATTTTAATAGTGTCATGAACATAGACAATAGCACCTTTTACATCAGTTTTTTTCATGGAATTTTAGTTTTCTATGTTTTAAACTGGGGATGATAACATCTATGTTGCAAGTATTATTGTGATGTTTAAATGAGGTAATGAATATAAAATGCATAGCAATTTCTGGCACACAAATAACTATCAAGGAAAGACAAGTATTACCCCTGACTAAAGTTTTATTTACACACCACATGATTTTAAAGTAAAGATTTAAGTATCTGTTGTTCAAAATGTAAATGAAATAATATTTGTCCATCTAAGGGGATAAATCCTTTAAAGGAAGGTGAATTATTTTTCCCAAAGTGAGTTTTTAAGATTACAAAAAGTTTAAAAAGAACTTAGGACATCTTGTCCCTGCTTAAATTATGATTCTTTATCTCAAAACCAAAGCAAAAAAATTATTTGGTATTGCTGGTTGAAACACTCAATGTACATTCTGATGACTTTAACCAATATAATAATTCATCTCTACTAGAAGACAGGCAGCAGCTGTCAGCTGTCATGTATACCAGCAGCTGGCAAACAAACTAAACCCTATTGATTTAGAAGAAAACAACAACATCCGCATACCCTTCTCTGCATTCAACTCATCCAGGAAGACAAAAACCCCTCAAAGTTTCAGTAAATAAGTACCTGGCCAAAGTTAAACACAGCACAGAAAAACTGTAACTCAACATATAGTCTTCCAGGCTCTTGGTTGAATAGCCACCATAAACAACTGGAAAGATTCTATAAAGAAAAAAAAAAAGAGTTTTTTAAAATGAAGCATGCTAATCATTTCTCTCCATCCAGAGCACAGTACAATAACTTTTCTACCTAATAATTAGGGGGGGAAAGACTAAAAGGAAAAACACTGAGAGAATACAGAGGCTTTGTCTTTCAAACAAGAGGTTTCAACTACTTCTTCTGACAGATGTCTTTCAAACAGCATCTATTCTGATCAGATTTGAAGCAAGAAGACATGAGCCATAATACAGAGACTTACATAATATACCAGGACTGCCGACTAGCCTAAGACAGGACTGATTTTAAAATTAGTTCTACACAATGAAAATAATTATATCACTAAGAGGAATTCTTGGCAGCCTTTTTTTTTTTTTTTTTTTTTAATTTTTGTCCTTAAACAGCAGATAAAGTGTAGCTGGCTGATATCATACTATGTAACAAGCATTCTGTGTGAAAAGGGCTCGTAGGTTATATGGCCTATCTCCCACCTCTAGGCAGGTTACACTTAAACTACCTTTAAAAAATTATAATAACTAGCTGGGCCCGGTGGTGCATGCCTATGTAATCCCAGCGGCTCAGGAGGCTGAGACAGGAGATCACAAGTTCAAGACAAACCTCAGCAACTTAGCTAGACCCTATCTCCAAATAAAATATAAAAGGGTGGAGATATAGAAATCATATCTGGGTTAAATCCCTCCCCCCAAAATCACAATATTCAATATTGGTGAGAGCACTTTATAAATCTATACTATCTACCCTTTGAAAAACAATTTAGTAGAATATGTCTAAAATCATAGAAATATTTATTCTCTTTGATCCAGGTTTCTCAACTCTGGGAATATATCACTAGAAAATATAATGCATGGAGATGTTTTTTAGAGTATTTTGAAAAGTTAGGAACAATTCATAAAGAAGTGGTTGAGTATATTATATAGCTCTCTACTGTTTACTGGGGAGCCATTTAAAGTATTAATTTTGGACACTCTGAAAATGCTTGACATAAGTGAAAAAGCAGGTTATAAATATATGTATTATTAGAACCATGAAAAATGTGTTAAAAATTCAAAAGCAGGGGCCAGGGGTGGTGCTCAGTGATAGAGCCTGTGCTTAGCATGTGTGATAACCCTGGGTTCAATCTCTAGCACCCCCTTCCCCACAAAAATGTTAGATGTCAGTAATTTTTTTTTTTTTAAAGAGAGAGAGAGAGAGAGAGAGAGAGAGAATTTTAATTTTTTTTTTTTTAAAGTTTTCGGTGGACACAACATCTTTGTTTTGTATGTGGTGCTAAGGATTGAACCCGGGCCGCACGCATGCCAGGCGAGCGCGCTACTGCTTCAGCCACATCCCCAGCCCCAGATGTCAGTAATTTGATGGGCATTTTTCCTTTTTTCCCTACTGCATGAAGTAGTTAGGTTGATTTCCATAATTAAATCTTATTCTTTCAAGTTAATTTATATGAGAAATATCTTGTGAGGGATAATGTAGGCATTTGTCCACTTTGGTCAGTCAAGCGTGTTAGGGATAACTAACCCTTGGACACATGATGGAGATATCTATCTGATTTTACCAAATTTACGTTCAGAGCACAGAATGAATAAGTAATTCTAATAGAATAGGCTACTGGAACACTTAGGCAACAGAGTAATATGAATGATTCTCCCCTCGCCACCAAAAAAACTAAAAAAAACAAAAAATACTTAAACTAGATTAGAATTTAGATAGCCTAGCCACTCTACTCTTGAAAAGTAGCAACTAAGTTTCAGTCCCAGATGCCTAAATAAAACCTTTGCCAGACATTTAAAGAAATAGGTCCCAAACAAAACCAGAGAAACATTTACAGCAAATAGGCCAATAATGAGAAGTAAACACAGCAAGACATGTCGAGTCAGTTGCTGGTCTCCACTGTGCAGATACTGTTCTTCTTCCTGGGCTAATATGCAGCTCTGGGAGTTACAGCGACTCACACAGTGATCATCTATGAAACAGTAAGCACAACAATTTGTAATCAGAGCTTTTTATTTGAATGCATTTTAAATTTATAATGACTTCCTAAGAGAAACAACAAAAAAGCACATTCAGCTAAGAATCAGTATGTAATTTCGATGAAATCGGGGGAAAGCTCCGTCATGTTGTTTTAGCTGGAGAGTGTTTTTATCTGAAAAAAAAAACCACTAGTATGTAATATTTCCCTTTTATACCATTCACCAATGTTTTCTATCTATATAATTTGTTATATAATTATATATTAATATGTTTTATAATTATACATAAAATTTTAAAAGGCTAAATTAATAACTCATGTTTCACCTGCATTAAATCTTCATAGTAGTCATGAATACACTATTTTGACTAACTGTGAAATAAATTTACAATTAACTCCTGCCTTTTCTGAGTTTAAAATTTGCCTTACAAAAGGCCTTACAAGGTACCAACTAGGTCTATAGGCTATGTTTTGTTCACATATGAGACCAAACCCAAATCACAGAATTGACTCTTTTCTGGCCTAAAACAGGGGTGAGGGATCTTTCAAAAGAAACTTGTTTTTCCACTTCAGCTCCACTTTGTATATGGTACTAAAGGAAAAGGAAAAATTTTTACATAATACATGCCTAGTCTAACATACAATCTTATATAAGTTAAAGATCAAAAAACAATTTTATAGCTCTTACCCTAAAAATAAAAATCTCTATTTCTTAAGGCCACTTTTTGGGAAAGGACATATACAACCACTAAATGTGGTCTAGCATAATAGTTAATGGTAGGGAGAAAGTTTACAGTCTTGCTAAGTAAAAAGAAAGTAGGTCATCAAACTATCTCTGTAGTATGATTCTATTTTAATAATAACTATTTGTATATATCTGCTCTAGTTTGACTCTTGAATGTCCCCCAAAGACCCAGTATTAAAGGCTGGTCCCTAGTCTGAGGCACTGTTGGGAGGTTGTGAAACATTTAGGAGGTAGGTAAGGCACAGTGGAAGAAAAGATATTGGGACTCCAGCCCCTCCTTTCTTTCTCTCTTTGCTTCATGGCTGCCATGAGATGAGCAACTTCTTTGACACATGCTCCCACTACGATGTACTGTGCTGCCTTAGGCCCAAAGCACCTGAGTCACTTGACCATGAATTGAAACCTCCTAAACTATGAGCCAAAATAAACCTTTTTTCCTTATTAAGCTGATTACCTCAGGAATTTTGTCACAGTAATAGAAAGCAAACATAATATGTGTAGAAAATTTGAGTTATATTTATATATGTGTGTATATATATTATGAAAAACATGGTTTTAAAATATTATGTACACACATTATTAAAATGCATAAAAATAAATTTTACTAGTTTTTCATTTGCCTTTTCCCACATTGTTGCCATTTAGCAATCTAAATGTAATATTTATTTTGCCTTTGTGCAACAGCAGGGAATGGGGGACAAATTATATTGTAAAGCTCTAGAAATTCTCATTTGTCTATGGTTTGATTTCCTTTAGGCTTTTTTTTTTTTTTTTTTTAATTTCAGGCTTAGGAATGATACTAAATTATATGGTTAGATGAAGTCCATATATGATGGCTTTCTTTTAATATGATTTTTACAAAACATGATCAGAAAATTTTGACACTCCCTATAGTATAAAAGTTTTCATGAATCAGTATTAGTAATGAAGAAAATGATAGTTAAAGAAAGACTAAGGATAATTTGAGAAGCAGAAAATGACTTTACTATTATATTGGGTAGAGAGAAAAAAATTAAGAAAGCCTTGGGACATAAAGAAACACTACTTTACAAAAGAAGCACATAAATAAAAACTAAGACAATTTAACTGAATTCGAGAATGGATTTCCTATTAGAAAATTTGATGAAGGCTGATAATCTGATATTTCTCTCTATGGAAACCTAAGTTCTACTACTATTTAAGATTCATTCCTAGCCAACAGATAGCAGACAAATATAAATGCCACCTGAATAACAACTGTTGCCAGTACTACATTTAATGAGCATTTACCACGTATACCATATACAATGCTAAGTGATTTGCACCCATAATTTCTTATAATCCTCCCAACATTTATTATATAAAGACATATGCCATGGGCTGGGGTTGTAGCTCAGTGGTAGAGTGCTCACCTTGCATGTGGAAGGCACTGGGTTCGATCCTCAGCACCACATTAAAAATAAAAATAAAGGTACTGGGTCCATCTATAACTAAAAAAACTTTAAAAAATGCCTTTTGCAACAATGTAATTGACAGATTCTCCATCACAAAGAGCAAAATCAACTGAAAGTGCATTGCAATTCCAATTCTATATAAATATGTTCAATTTTAAATAATTTAAAATTCAGAAAAAAGTGATTTAGTCTCTTAGTTTACATGCCAAAAGTTTATTACTTTTAAAGTTGTTTTTCTTATTTTTTAAAGAAGTTATATTTAAAGCACAATATAATTAAGCACTAATTAATTAGTCCTGGTCATAAGGGTTGGTGATAGGGGAAAGTCTCAGCTTCTAAAATAAGAAAAAATACCAAAATAATAATAGCTTTTAGGGCAAATTTCTTGGGTTTTTCTCTTGAGTTAAATTTATTGGAAAGTGTGTGTGCATGTGTGTGTGTGTGTGTGTGTGTGTGCGTGCGCGCGTGCATGCATGTGATACTATAAGAACTTTATCTTTTTTAAAATAAATGTTCTCTCTGCACAATTATTATTCTATTCACATCTTTTTCCTATTTTATTTGAGAATCTGTTCTCAAATAGTGTTCTGTAGTGTTACAGCTGCTGAAGAAATACTATGTAGAGGTTTCGTGACACAGAAGGATAAGGGCTCTTCTGTTCCTTATGCCCTTCCTCATATCCCAGGGCACTTACTTTTCTCAAATGAAGGAGTCACAGGCCCACTGGTGCTTGTGTTTGCTGCTGGCTCTATTGATGGGTAGCATAATTCACCATTTCCCATGGAGCAAGAGCAGCAACCTATATATAGAAAAATAATGTGAGAGTAGAGCCCAACCACAACAGAAATGGACAGTTCAAGAAATTCCAAACAAAACCAAACCACCCAAAACCTACTCATGCTGCCTCCATGGAAATATTTTCTCATGACAATTATCAAAAAGTATTCAAATATGCTGTACAAACATTAACATTTTAAAAAGTGTCAGATGAATGATCATCATCTTTATATATTGTCTTCTTATATGAGAGAAGAAAAATTCATTCATTGCTATTTTAATTCTACTGTATTCGGGGAACTAAAAATTCACTTTCCTAAAACACAGCTCTTATTTCATCCCTTTTCAAAAATATATACTAGTGTTCTATTGGGAACTGTGGAAAATTCAAACTCAGTCTAAATTGATAGCTGCCTATGACTTGGCCTCTTTTCCTAGCCAGCTACCCATCCTAAGCAACAAAAAGCATTTCCTTCTTTCAGGACAATTCTTCACACCCTCCACAAGTCCCATCAAGACCTAGGCTGACTCAAAAGACCTAAATATGGCATACTACAGGGACATATCCACATCAATGTTTATAGCAGCACAATTCACAATAGCTAGACTGTGGAGCCAACCTAGATGCCCTTCAATGGATTAATGATAGAAAAAAAGTGGCATTTATTCACGATGGAATATTACTCAGCACTAAAAAATAACAAGATCATGGCATTTGCAGGAAATAGATGGCAATTAGAGCAGATTATGCTAAGTGAAGTTAGTCAATCCCCAAAAAACAAATGCCGAATTCTTCTCTGATATAAGGGAGGTGACTCAAAATGGGGTAGGGAGGAAGAGCATGAGAAGAAAATTACCTCTAGTTAGGGAAGAGAGGTGGAAGGGAAAGGGAGGGAGAAGGGGAATTGCATGGAAGAGGGAAGGAGACCCCCTTTGTTATACAGAATACAGGTATGACGATGTGAGGGGAAAAAAAAAAGAATTGTGTCACATTAGATTGGGTAGAGAGAAGTGATGGGAGGGGAGGGGAGGGAAAGGGAGGAATGGAAGGACAGCAGAATAAAACAGACATTATTATTGCTGTGGGTATATAAGTGACTGCATGACCAATGTAATTCTACAACCTGTACACTTAGAAAAATGAGAAATTATATCCCATCTGATTCAACTGTATATGTCAAGATCATTGTACTGTCGTGTGTAACTAATTAAAACAAACAAACAAACAAACAATAAAAGACCTAGGCTGATCAAATCCTCTCCTGCTTTCTAAGTTAGGCTTGAAATCACTTCTTTCAGGAATCTGTCTCCTATTAGTTTAGATGATGCAGTAAAAACAATGATATATGTTTTTCTTTCAAATATATACTGCTGAAAATCTCTTGCAGGTTTATAGGCAGGTTGGCTTATAGAAGTCACACTGAGATATCTGTTATAGAGCTGTAATTTTTTCTTCCATATAGTCATAGAACTGTACACTGTGCTCTTTAAAATCTTTCACACTTACATAGACATGGTGCTCCTTGACATGGATTATAATTGAATAATAACTTTAATGACAAACTATTAAAATTTAATATGCTAGAAAAATGAATAATTCCCAAGAATAATCTTTCATTAACAACATGCTTAATTTCTTCAATGATGTTCTTAAAAGTATTTAAAAGTAACAAAACTGCAGTCTAAAATGGCCTTGCTAAATTTAAGATAACGATGCTATCTCAAGGTTAAAACAGAACCAAAGGATAACAGAAAAGAAAATACATTATTTAGTCCATACTTCTTCAGAAACTTGAAGGTTTCAATCAGCTAATTTTCTTTTCAGTGTTAGGGATTGAACTCAGAAGCACTTTACCACTGAACTACATCCACAAAACATTTTTTTTATTTTGAGACAGGGTTTTGGTAAGTTGCTGAGGCTGGCCTTGAACTTGCAATCCTCCTGCTACATCCTGAGTAGCTGGGATTGCACCACCACACCCAGCCAGTCTATCAGATAGACAAATCAGACAAAGCACTTATAGTCTAGTCTAGTGGGCTATATAAACAACTTAAAAAGCAATTATAAAATAGTGAGATAAGAGGGAAGTATAAACATCACAGAAGGTTTCTTAGATAGGTATAGCTATCATCTTGCTCTCCATTTATTTATACTATAGGTTCAAGTTATTTTCTTGCTGGAGATGATAATAATGGATTTAAAGAAAAGCTATTATACAGTTCATCTGCTATTTTTAAATAATAGGTAAAGATGTAGCAGCAAAAGTCTCTGGGCCTAAGACTCTTAGTCCACAGATGTCTGGCCTTTGGTAGCCTGTTTTAAAACACTTGTGGAAAAGAAAGACACAGCCAGCTGTAGGTGGGATGGTCTTCAAGCTCTGTCAGAAAACAATCAATATATGGGTTTGTAGGATTCCTGCAAGATTCTTCAAGAAAGTAAAGTAGGAAAGGAAGTTGTGCATGATCAGAACAGTACTCTAGGCCCATGGAAGTCAGCTTTTAAATATTCAATCCTTGAACTTCAGTTTTCAAAAGGAAAGTGGTCAAGAAACTTAAATGAAATTCTGATATAATCATGAATTACCTAAGAAAGAAATTAGTGAGCTTGGGTTTAAAGGCCATGAAGTATAAAAGAATAACAGAAAATAATATAATAGAAAAGAGGTATAATATATATATATATATATATATATATATATATATATATATATAATATATATATATATATAAAAAGAAGGTATAATAGAATAGAAAAGAGGTATAATAAAATGAATGCCATTTTGGGGAAAAGCATGGAAAGCTCAGTAGTGGAGAGAGGGGAAAGCTGAAGAGGAGATGGGGCAGAACTAGGCTGGAGCAGGGCATGGCTGGATTGTGGAAGATCTTGAGCACCATGTACAGGAGTGTGAACCTTGTCCAACTGCAGGGTCCTCCTAGACCTGCATCAGGAATCTATGTGACCAGAGCTCTGTGAGGAAGATTTTGCCAATTCATATAAAACAGACTGGAGCAGGGAGTGATGGGAGACAGGCAGCCCAGTTTGGAAGGAATTACAAGAATCTAGCAGAGAGACTGGAGGCCACAGTGGGGAATAAAGGTCAGGTGTAGATGAAGGACCCTGCGGAGGGAGAACTGCCTGTTCTGAATGGCTAAACTGCCTGAGAAGGAAACAGAAGAGATGTACCTGGAAGGCCTGAAGAATGATCACACATTCACTAAAACCAGATTTCTGGAAGTTATACTCAGGTCCTCCATTAGCCCTCACCAGTCCAGTTGATTGCAAGTCCATCAGTACAGCTTCTGAGTCTGACCTATCCGGTCCATCCCACACCTACCGCCCTCTGCCCTGTATCAGGCCTAGCCTATTGCAAAAACTACTAATAGGACCCTTTACTTGTAGGACAAAACCTTCATATTTTCCCATGACACAGAATGCCCTCTGTATCTGCTTACTTTTCCAACTTTCTTTGAACTCTTCCCCATATTTACCCTGAGTTCAAGCTTTACTGAATTTCTTACAGTTATCTAAGAAGAAAAATTGTTATCTCATATTTCATTACCTTTGCAGAAGTTGTGGAACATTATGAATTGCATGATTCTACATGTAGATAAATAAATAGGAGAAAGAAGAATAAAATTTCTGGGTGATAAATAAACCATAAAATAACTCTGGGGAGTAGAGCCAAGGGCAAGGGAGGGGAAGAGTTTAGCTTCTCTTTTAATTGTCTTTGAATTCCTTTTTAATTGTATTTGAATTGTAATTGTAATTGTATTTGAATTCCTTACTGTATGAATGTCTTTTTTTTTTTTTTTTGTACTGGGGATTTAACTAGGGACAATTTATCACTGATCTATATCCTAGCCATTTTTATTTTGAGACAGGGTCTCACTAAGTTGTTTAGGGGCTCTCTAGTTTGCTGAGGCTAGTCTTGAACCTTGATGTCTTCCTTTTATAATGAAATGTTATAATAAGCGGGGTGCAATAGTGCATACCTGAAATCTCAGGGACTCTGAAGGTGAGGCAGGAGGATTGCAAGTTTGAGGCTAGCTTCAGCAAATTGGTGAGACTCTGACTCAAAATAAAAAGTAAAAAGGACTGGTGATATAGTTCAGTGGTAAAGCACTCCTGGATTCAATACCTAGTACCAAAAATAACAATAACAGTAATAATCATAATAAAAAATGTTATCAGTACCTGGTCCTATACCTCCAGAGTCTTGGGGTCCCTACACCTGCATGTGGGTGCCCTTGGGATTATTGGCATTCAGGGATGTAGCCACAGTGTTTTCCAACAGGAGAAATGAAAGTGCCTGAACCCTGCTCAGAGGGTTTTGTACAGAGGTGTGATATTGGAGAACTATAGGAAACTGTTTTTCCTGGATAAGGATGTCTTGTCTTCAGAAAACAGGATCTGCCCTGTATCTTTGTATTTTTTCTTGTGTGCCTCTTGGGAGGCTCTTCATCAAGCCATATTAATTCAAAATGGAAAAGTTTCATATTATTGGATATTTTGATAATTTTGTTGCGTTACTCTCTTTGTTTCAATACAATTGAGTTGATTTGCCATAGTTTGTCATATAAAATATCTTAGTTTTTCTGGAGTACACTTAAAATTCTGTAAAAAAAATTAATAAAATGTTATAATAATAGCTATTACATACTCATACTTACTATTTGCTGGACTTTATACATGTTCACTCATTTTATACAGTAACATTCTTTTTCTTTCTTTTTTTTTTTGATATTGGGGATTGAACGCAGAGGCACTTAACCACTGTGCCACTTCCCTAGCCCTTTTTTACATTTTATTTAGACACAGGGTCTCACTGAATTGCTTAGGGCCTTCCTAAATTGCTGAGGCCGGCTTTGAACTCGGGATCCTCCTGCCTCAGCCTCCCAAGCCACTAGGATTACAGGTCACCACTGCACCTGGCTCCAATCACATTCTTACAGGTAGGTGTTACTAGATAAGGAAAGTGAAACACTGGGAACTTGCCCAAGATCAGACAGTAGTAAATCATGAAGTCAGGCTTTGAACACAGGCAACATGGCTCCAGGGTAAGTTTTTAACCACTCTTTTATATACTTCCAGTTTGGAACGGGTGAGGAAGGAAGAAAGGAAATTTACATGGCGAGATTTGTGGGAAGCATTTTAAATGCAACATTCCTAGCACTAACACAGTTCATGACAAAGTGCTGTGCAATGAAACTTTCTCATTTCTTCCTTTTGAAGATGAATAAATTATCTTCTATCTCTGTTGTCACTCTTTCTTCTTATACTTTACTCATCTTTCTACTCCACAAGCTATCTAAACAAAATATTGTAAACCATCATTTATTCTTCTGAGCACAATGTCCATTATCTGTGAACTTTCCACATTCATCAGTGCATCCAAAATGCATACACTATTGCTGACTTCCCTTCATGAATTGAAACAAATTCTGTAACAATTGTTGACTCTTACTAACACATATACTAGTTAGGATCATATTTTTACTTATACCAAGAATGGGCAAACATCTTCCATAAAGGGTTAGATAATATTTTAGGCTTTACAAGCCAGTCTCTGTTGCAGTGACTCAACTCTGCTATTACAGCATGAAAGCAGCCATAGACAATGCGTAAATCAATAAGCATGGCTGTTTTAATAAAATTACAGACATGAAATTTAGGTTTCATATAATTTCCAGTAGTCACAAAATATTTACTAATTTTTCTTCAACCTTTTAAAAGTGTAAAAATCATTTTTATATGGTGGGTGTGATTTGGTCTGTGCTCTAGTTTGCAGATGCCTAATTTCTACTATCAACCCAGCCTCTTAGTAGGCCTCCTTTAGCTCACTTTGTTGATAAAATGTTGTTAAATTAACATATATATGTGTGTAGATTTCTAGGAAGAATATTCCTTTCCATTGTGACTTCTTTCTAAACTTTCTAAGCTCTCAGGTCTCAGGAAGTCCTACATTTTTAACAAAAGATTGTCCTCACAAACATACTTTCAGAAATAATTTGTAAACTCTTCCTATTATTGACTGTGATTCAGGTTCTTAATTTGGCAAATACCTATGATTTTCAGAATAGTTCAGGGAACCTCTCTTAAGCAAAATAATTAGGATGTATGCTATAAAGGCATGTAACATACTTGTTTCTGGTATTGAACTTGTAAAAAGTTCTGGTTCATTTGTTGGTGCTGGACTCTCATCAAAAGCAGTGTTTCCAGGCTCCACTGCTTTGTGGCTCTGAGACTGACCGAAACCTTCATAGTGTCCTGCTTGGGTGGTGCGGTTCATGCACATGAGTGATATACCAGCTATCAGAATGCTGCAGAACAGGGTGACTGCTGTGGTGATCATCTGACGATGTTAAAAAAAAAAAAAAAGACATTAGGCCACTTTTTACAATCCCATCTGATAATCTTAGCAGAATGCATTAAGAGCATTTTTTGATGGAAAATACATCTGCACAGTTGTAAATACTCTAGAACAGTGGTTCTTAAGAATGGGTAACAGCAAATAAGGAATGTACTTGAAGAGAAATCAGAGTCTGTTTATAATCATGTAAGTGTTCTAGATGCTTTGTTGTACAGCAGCTGATTAACATAGCCACTGGTTTCTTTTACAAGTAATTGGAATAATTTGTTATAACTTTAATTTTGAATTTTTGCTTATGTAGTTCAAGTATACTTCAGTTGAGAGATTTTATGATAATGATAGTAAAAATGAATAAATACAGCTAATACTTATGAGCAGTAACTATATGCCAGCACTAGTCAAAGTCCTTTACATGTCTTATTTATTCTCATAAAAACTCAAATTCAAAATTACAGAACAGGAAAAAAAAAGGATAACAAATGAAAATCTTCAGGGAGGTTTTTAAAAACACATTCTTGGGGCCTTCCTGAAGAATTCAGCAGGCTCATAAGCCTCCTACTCTATAGCTGTTCAAGTACACTTTTTCCCAGACACATTGTTTTCTGAAATTTATATTTTTGATAGGATTAAGAATCAAGAGTTTGACATTTACTATCACTGCTAGCTTGTTAAATGGCTTTAAATTAATCACTCTTTTCTCCAGTAAAGAAAACATAATTCATAAGAGTTTTTAAGAAGAATCAATTAAGCTCAAGCATTCTTCAGCTAAATACAGACTTAGCATGCAAAACGTTCATCATTTTGAGGTGTGACAAGGTGATATAGGATCACCAGTATAAACTGCAATAAATTAGAATAGATTTTTAAAGTTAATTTCAATGTAAGTATAATTAGGTACATTAATAAGCTAAAATGAGATGTTCTCAAGAACAGAACTGCCAATAAACTCTTCCCACCTGCTCTTTTCCATAAAAGAAGGCTGAGTCAATGCTATCTCCATTGTGTTTTCCAGTTATCAAAAGAACACCAACAAGGAGAGCAGGAATTCTATAACAACAAGGGTAATTGAGAGAGAAAGAGAGAGAATGAATAGTAACTGTGCATATGGAAACATGTAAGCAACAAAAAACTACCAACTTACCCCCAACCAGATATTATGATGATTCCGACAGGAATTTGTACACTTTCTCGTTTTTTCAAAAGAAACAAAGAAATTGCTAGAAGGCCTAAGAACAAGAAATAAAGATAGAAAGAGAGATCATTATTCTTGATGTTTCCCTAATTTAAAAATTATTTGAGGGCTGGGGATGTGGCTCAGTGACAGAACACTTGCACATGTGAGGCACCAGGTTCAATCCTCAGCACCACATAAAAATAAATAAATAAAATAAAAGTGCAGTGTCCATCTACAACTAAAAATGAATAATAAAAATCATTTGAATTCTATCCTGTATCGTTTCTTTACTCAAATCTTGTTTTATCCAGCAGGAATTTTTTCCCCCAAAAGCCCTGATCATTTTATTCTTTGGACGTATGTGATTGGAATCTAAATATGATTGAAAGAAAATTAGCTGTATAGAAAACATACTCTGTCAGTGGTAAGAACTATAAGCAATTCTTATACAAGTTATGCTTCACATTAAGTGTGCTGATGGAGCTTAATACAAACATGGTGTGACCTTAATACAAACACGGATGTTTTCAAGTTCTTAGACTTTCCTTATACCTTATACCCAATCATTTATACAAGTTACATCTTGCTTAATAAATTCTACAGAGCTATAAGAATCTTAGGACTTTAGGGCTAGAAGAGACCTCTGTTTCAAATTAACACCTTCATTTTTTAGACATGGAAACAAAGGTTTGCCCAAGTCAGACAGCCAGCAGAGGGCAGAGCCAGTCTAGAAACTAAGCCTTTTGACATAAGGTAAGTTCTTCAATTCCCTGTTTCTCAAACTCAGATCTGTAGGTCTCCCTGGGGTTGCTATCATATATGCTTCAGGATCTGAGGGAAAAAAATCTGTTAGAAATTTTAAGTCCTGGGCTGGGATTGTAGCTCAGTGGTTAAGCACTTGCCTCACATGTGTGGGGCACTGGGTTCAATCCTCAGCACCATATAAAAATAAATAAAATAAAGGTATTGTGTCTATAACTTAAAAAAAAAAGAAATTTTAAGTCTTTTGGCTTATTTTCAGTGATAATCATTTGTATGCCCTCCTTATAATCAAGTATAGTCTCATGACTTCAGAGCTTGTATTTGGTTTTATATTAAGTTTGTAACAAGTTAGCTGGGTGTAATGGCATACACCTGTAATCCCAGCAGCTTTGGAGGCTGAGGCAGGAGGATCACAAGTTCAATACTAGGCTTAGCAACTTAGTAAGGCCCTGACTGAGACTCTGTCTGGAAATTTAAAAAAATAATAATTTATAAAAGGGCTAGAGATGTGGCTCAGTGGTTAAGTGCCCCAGAGTTCAATCCCTGGTTAGTACCTCTCACCCCACCCCCACCCCGCCCTGCCTTCCCAAAAAGTTTGCAACAGCTGAAAGCCAAATGATATCACAATACCCAGTCCAAATGAAGGTTCTGAGGTAATTTGAGGAAAGAAAAGTAGTAAGATAACCAGGTCAAGACCTAATAAATTCAAGCCAAATTAAAATACCAGGGAATTGAGTTCCATTTTACATTACAAGTTATTAATTACATTAGTAACACAAGTTCCTTTGTTATGTTATTTAATTTGTTAATAAAGATTACTGGGTTTGTAGTTTTGCTTGACTCTAATCTATGAATTTGCTGTGCTTTTATAGTTGTATACAAAGAATTCATACCTAGATTTGAAATTATACAGATTAAATAACACTGCTAGAATGAATATTTATCCACCTCAAGGTCTTTGAGAATTTTTTTTTCTTACCACTACTCCCTCATCAATATATCTATATACTCTCTAGTTTTAGGTTTTCAAAGTGCCAAGGAAACAAGTAATTCATCATCGAATGGTGCTAACTGTGTTACTGTGTAAGAGCACTCCTTAAGATTCTGTTTATCGTTTCTGCCTTATGAAAGGAAGCATATACAATAAGGCAGAATCTAGTCCTGCTTCTCACTGAGGGAGCTGTGAGATCTCATGCCTGAAATCAGTTGAACTCTCTGGGCCTGTTTTCCTAATTTGCAAAATGAAGGGGTTAAACTAAAGCAGCAGGAAGATGGAGATTTTTTGACTAGCTATGCATTTAATGAGCATTTGAAAGATTGTAATTAGCATATGAAATCTGAGATTTCATTGACATAAAGCTCAATTGATTGAACTAAAAAAAATGAGTCGACTTTAAGAAGAAAAAAAGTGGTATGTAGACAGGGCAAAAATTGTGAGAATGGTATGCAAATGAATAAAATTGAAAATAACCGAACAGTAGATTTAAAAATATACTTTGGGGGGGTTGGGGTTATGGGTCAGCGGTAGAGTGCTCACCTAGTACATGTGAGGTGCTGGGTTCGATCCTCAGCACCACATAAAATAAAGGTATTGTGTCCAACTACAACTAAAAAAATATATAGTAAAATATATACTTTGGGATTTAAAATTCTGTAATATCATAATAATCTGAAGGTTAAAGGGCACCTCTTCAGGGTCAGGGAATTCAGAATAATTTCTTGGGATAAATTTTAACATGCATACTTGAAGAAGGTTTCAGAGAGAATTGGGAATTTTTTAATATATTGATTTATTTGCTGTTCTTATTCTCATCCTAAATTTTACCTGAATAAACCTAGGTATTAGAGATCAGGTTGATGCTTCTATATTTGTAAGTATAGTTGATAGGCTCTTTTAATTTGACATTTCATGAAAACTCATGCAAGGTGTACTTCTCTTTAAGAAGTACAAACTATCTTCTTGCTGGGAGCCATTAGCCAAGTAGGTATGACAATTTCCTTGCCAGCGTACCCCATGTTGCTGACACGTTGCAGTGACATTGAATGTACGTGACCTTGCTCAAGGACCAAGGCAGATTAGGGTGTTCCCAGTTTTAAGATAATCGTGTTTAGGGCGTTCCCAGTTTAGGTTCCAGGTTTAAGGTTTAAGATTATTCCTGCTGGGAATAGGGCGTATCCTGCTGCCTGAGTTCCCCTTGAGTTCTCACGGGATTCAGACAATATATTTTGGAGATAGAAGCCCAGTGGAGGTGGATTTGGGCAGAGAACGTGGATTTGGGAAGAGAACGTGGATTTCCCCAGAACGTGATTGTAGACGGACGGCTGGTGTGAGTTCGGGAATAAAGAGTTGCTGTTTGAATCTACAAGCTGTGTGGTGGCTCGTGATTGTGTGCCCAGCCAGACTGCGGCATTTGTGCCCAGCCAGACTGCGGCATCTTCTGTTTGTACTGAATTTTTCATTCTACAATTCCTCACCTCATTGTTGCTTCACTTCAAAAGACTGTTAACTTGGATGGGACCTGCTTTTGATCCTGAAGGCATGAAACCAATGGTCTGTCCTTGGAAGCCTCTTTCTGACACTTTCTTCTTAACCATTATGCAATTTCCTTTTATGTACAATTTTACAGGTTCAAATTTGTGGTATTAATACAAAATAGCCAGACAGAACTTTTAATACACAACCAAAATGCTGGCATCCAAATAAATGTTCTACTTAAGAATAGCAATGTGCTTAAACACTTTAAATACCCTTCTGGAGCCAGTTGAAATGAGAAACAGTCTTATTGACTCATATTTCCACATCCTTTTATTCTCCTACTTTTCTTGTTCTTCTATTTAATAATTAATATAGGTCCATTTATTGAGCACTTAGCACCCAGCAGACATAAATATCCATACTTTGTTTCATCCTCAAAATAATTGTAAAATACTATAACCCAGATTTACAGGTGAAGAAACTAAGACTCCAAAAGGCAATTAATTTGCATAAATCAGAGCCACAATTTTGCAGGTCAGTGGGATTCTAGTAGTAAGCTCTGAGATACACACACCTCTGTTCTTTCTCTACTTTCTCCACCTGCCTTCAGCACCTGCCCCTTGGTGTCTCCAAAGGGGAGCTGTGCTGATAGTGGCCTAGATAGAGCCAAAGACTCCAAGAAAAAGGGTCATGCTATTGGAAAAGGCTCTGAGCCCAGGGAGAAATAGAGTACATTAGGAAACAGAAACCAGCTTTGTAGACTGCTCATATTAGTGGGCATATCTGCTTGAATGAACGCCCTGATCCTGTCCTACCAGACTTCAAGTAGATCACTAGAAGCTGAGGTCTTCTAAACATGGGGGAAGGGGAAGCACACCTCAATATCCATCCATTCATGATCAACTTACCTGTCCATAGGTAGGTGCTATACAGGGAGCTGTACAATAGAACAAACACCAAAATTTGTCCAACAAAATTTTTTTCTTTAACGAAATTCCATATCATCATTCCAGCACAGACAATAGACTAAAAAAAGAATTATTAAAAGACTTTGTAAATAGCTAAGCAAATCATATGATTCAACATTATTATAGAAAATAGCTATTGAATCAACTATATTTGTATAAGTTTCATTCACAGAAAATTATTCATTGTAAATTATTTCTGACCAATTATCAACTAGTTACATGAAAAGTTCAAGCTTTGTAATAAAAACTTCTGTATACAGAGCCTTTAACAATGTACATGTTTAACTGAAAATGATAATGAACATATTCTAAATACTAACCTTAAATTTAGTAATGATTTATATAGAAAATGCTAAATTTCTTTCCATTATGATTTGTGACATGCAAAGATCTAACCAGAAAAACAAGATTGTGAGAGTTCAGATTTTAATGATTCAACTGATTCTATTAATAACCCAAAGTTATTATCAAATGCCATTATTAGCCTCACTAATAGGCCTCAAGTTCAAGGCCTATTGCAATATTTAATATATTAGGCATAAACTAATTATGATCAAATTTTAATTGATCATATTTAATAGTATTTCTGACTTCATAACTGGAAAAACCTAACATAGTAATTTTCTCAGGAGCAGTAGAATAGCCCTGAAAAATTCTAAATATCTATAGATATACTAACCTGAGCAATGAGTAAATTGGTTGTAAGCATATGAGGAAGCTGCTTATATTTTTTACTCAAGAGAAGAATAGCCAGAGACCAGATCTTGAAGACAAAAGTTTCAAAAGTTATTCATGTTTCTAAATATTTAAAATTACTTATTAAATAACATTGATTAACTCTTTTTTTGGTGGCATTGGGGATCAAACCCAGGGCCTCATGCATGGTAGGCAAGTGTTACACTGAGCTATATCACCAGCCCTGTGATGATTATCTTTAAAGAATCCTCTTATCAAGGCACAGTGGCGCATACCTGTAATCCCAGCAACTAGTTATATGAGGCTGAGGCAGAAGGATTGCATATTCAAAGCCAGCCTCAGCAACTTTGCGAGGCCCTAAGCAACTTAGTGAGACCCTGTCTCAAAACAAAAAAGGGCTGGGGATGTAAGTCACTGGTAGTGCCCCTGGATTCAAGCCCTGGTACAAAACAAACAAACAAACAAAAACTTCTTTATCTTAGTTCAGAAAGAAATTCCAATGTTATTTACTTTACCTAGTACCAAAAAGAGTATTAAGGTAAATAACTACATCCAAAATAAAATGAAAAGCATGGGAATCTCCCACAGTAATTAACCATCTTAAAATTACATGATCTTTAAAAACTAATGCCTTGACTAGAGCTATGTTCTAACTATGCCTATCTTCCATGGCTGAGAGGGGACACTGGGTCACAGCCAATTATTTAGGAAAGAAGTTTTAGTGGAGATATAATAATAATAATAATAATAATAATAATAATATAAGATCCCAAGTTTTCCCTTTTTTATTTCTACCATACTGGCTGATAAGGTAGCTAAATTCAAAATTCTAAGCTGTCTTTCTTTAAACAGACTATCTATACTGAGAATTATCATCTTGCATTTTTCATATTTAAAAGGATTAAGTTTCTTTTCTTTGTTGTTCTGGGGATTGACCCAGAGCCTTATACATGCTAATACATGCTCTACCACTGGGCTATGCCCTGAGTCCCAGGTCTGGGTTTCTATTCTATCCACATAGTGGCCAAGTAAGTAGGCTAGTCAATTTCCTTCTTTTTCCCATCATTGCCAATAGATTTTATATCACCGTTCTCTTTTCAATGGGCATAGATTTTACCATATGTGACATGTTGAATTTATTAAAAACTACGTTAGCCATACACTTATTTGTTGCCAATATACATATTCATCCCCACCCCACCCCTTTATCATTCAAAATATTGCTTGAATTTAAGAGGCAAGTTGATCTACAAGATATTGTAGTTGTCAAATGCTTAATTATTTAATTTGAACTAGATATATCCAATTTGAATAGTAATCTAAATTGTCATTAACAAAATGGGCAATTGAACAGGGTCCCAAACATCTCTTCTGACCTCATGATTCTACAACAGCTAGTATTTTATGGTAAGTCATCATTCACAGCATGTTTATCACATTTATTATCTCATTTATTCCTTAAACGACCCATGGAGATATGTGAAATTATTATCTTTCTTTTATAGCTGAGAAAACTAAAGCTTAGAGAGATTAAGTTAACTTTCCAGGGATACACAGCTAATTTGTGATAGGGTCAGGAGTCAAATCCAGGTCTGACTAAATCTCACACCTTGTCTACTCTATAACTCTCCCAAATGAAAAGACAAAACTCATTTAATTGAAAGGTTGATATTCCATTTTATGGGCAGGCTTTAACTTTATTTCCTAAGAAACTAATTTTTAAATCTTTTTTTCTATTACTAAGCTATTTTCAAACTTGTTCTATGGTTTCCATTCAATTTTACACTGAAACATACTTACCAAGGAGACCAGGCTGATAATACTTATATCGAAACTAACATTCTGTATGGCATATGCCAATGGCTTAGGGTCCATAGTGGGAAAGGTCAATAACCAGGCAGAAACATACATAATTGGAGCTGACACGAATGTGCTTATTACCATCCCTGAGGTTATCTGTAAAAAAATAGATCAAATTGAGGAGTCATGATCTCATTCAATTACTTTAAACTTTAAATACCCACAACATACTAAAGGTTTCTGAAATAAAAATAAATCAGTAAAAAGACATTATAGAATCCAGCATATTGTCTAATAACATATTTCACCTTTCTGAAAGTCTTTAAAAAGAAACCATAGGTAAGTTCCCTTGGTCCCTCTTCTAATCTAGGTTAAATCAATATTTTATCACAAGTACTAGAGATTCCATTGTTATTTTTAGGTTCTAAAAGTGATCCTTTTAATGATATAATTAAACTTATGAATAGTTTCCTTACATACTATTTCATAAAATATAGGACCAAAAAAAAGCAATTTGCAAAGAGAAAAATAACCACACACACATTCTTCAGATTATATAGAATTGACCTTCAGTAAATAATTCAGTTCTTTCATATTTCAAAATCTTTGATGCTGTAGACACAATACACGTAGACACTGATAATTTGATGTTAATTGATTTTAGATATTTACTGCTATAGGTTATGTGGTATTTTGTATCTGGTGATAAATTATCATGAATAAAATATATTTTTTTTGCTCAAAATTTCCAAAGCTACCCTTCTTTAAGTAACTTTCAGGCTTAAGTATAAGTATGGAAACAGAATACTTGAAACTAAAAAAGAATAGTAAGAAAGCAAGGATGACTAAAGACCCTGGATTAAATAACTATTGTTACATAATGTTACACAATACCTCCTTATTTACAGTGAGGTAGCTTAGAGATATCAAATTATCATAGAAAGAATGTTGCTTTCTGGGTTTCAAAATGTCATTTTTCTATTACCACAAAAACAATCAAACTTAGAAAGTAGTATATACATACAATCTCTACTTCCATGTTGAACTGTGTAGCAAAGATAGCTACTCCTGGTGCTACAGGGAAGACACCATACAAAAATGCATAATTTGATAAACTTGTGTGATTCACTACACTGTCACCCTTGTCCAAGAGTTCCACCATTTCTCTGCACAGAAGTGGCAGCACCAAGCTGAAGAAAGAAGAAATGCATAATTTACTTGGTATCAAGGCATGCTTATCCCTCAATAGTAGATTGCGATAGTGAACTGGCATTAGGTTATTTTTCTGTTCTTTCCCAGAGTTGTATCTATTTGAATATATTCTATGTATGCCTACTTATGAACATTTTATTGAAAGAATTAAGAATTCAGATTGGAACCATTTCAAGAGTTACAACATTCTGGAAATACTTCAAACATTGGGATGAGGGGAAAATATTATTTCTATACCAAAAATATTGGTAAAAGCTGCAATTATAGCTATCTTCCTTACTCTATTGGTTCACTGAAATATTAGAAGGAAAAAAAACCTGATCATTTTGGGGAAGAACTTCTTTTAAGAAAATAACTAAAAAAACAAAATATTAAGAAAATAACTAAATTACTTTTTGGAAAATAAGATGAATTTTATTAAATGATTGGGAGTTTAAATGGTAATAACACTGCTTGATTAAATTCTAAAACCAGTAGAAAAAATACGTATCTTACAATTAATTCTTTGTGTGTGTGTGTGTGTGTGTGTATTATGTACGTTCAGCAAAAGGAACTCAAACAACTGAAGTAGAGCAGAAAAATTAATGAAACACAGATCTGGTGAAGAATAAATTATTAAACAAATTCTTTTAAGATTTCATTGAAGAGCATAAAACCAGCGACTAAAATAATGGGGTTCTCCTTTAAGAAAACAGCAAGACCGAGGTTGATAACATTGTCATAGCAGCACCCAGAGAGAAGCTCCAGGATGAAATAAAGGACTACTCATTTAATTTTTTTAATTGGAAAAATATATATATACTTAATAAGAATTTAACTAGAAAAAATTTTAATTTGACTAATTAAATTCTACTTTTAAGTTGAAGTTGATAATACTGTTATCATTAGAACAATATTTATTACTGTGACAATTCTATTTAATACTTTGTTTCTGAGGAGCATAACAGCAGTGTAAATGATTTTCAGAACTTTTCTTTACTTTGCAAATATAAATACATATCTTATTGCACCACTCTCATGAACTTAACTGCCTATACAAGAGCTGAGTCCCATAGTTAAGTATGCCTCAAGTACTCTGAGTTAATATTGTAGTCAAATTATGTCACCTGCACCATGAAGTGTGACTCCATGGTTAATGATACACATAAATTGAAAACTAATTAAGAATCTAAGAAGAACTTTTTATTTGACAGGTTAGGATCAGATATCCAATAATATTCATCAACATCTCTATTTAGAAAGTTCATTCAAACTCGGAATTACAGAATATTTTCCCAAATTCATGAAAAAAATTTGTTAAAAATTATTGTTCTTACATAACTAGGATGCCTCTTCCTTTAGGATTTTAATAGATTCAGAAATCCTGCAAAATTTCTTGAAAAATAAGATCTAACTAGGACATTAAGAGATAATTAACAAACTATATAAAAGCAGGATAAAAAAAGCTAAAGGGAAACAGTTATTAATATCTGACAGTAAAATGCAAAGAATAGCTTACATGGAATAAGGAAATGAAAGACCATTTTTCAAAATACACCAATATTCCATTCTCCTTTAAATCATAACTATTCTATAAGGAAGGATTAATAGTCAAAGGAAAAAAATAATTTCAGACACATCCCAATGAATTAAACAAGGTTTTTACAAAGTATAATTCCCAAGTTAAATAAGTGAAACTTACAGTTTAGCTGTGATGAGAAGAATTAGTACAACAAATGCTGACTTCTTCAGTCTCCTTATTTTTCCTACCATTGTAAGACCAAGATAAAATAGGGCTGCTCCAGAAAAAGAATTTGCAAGTCCATCAAGAAAATTTTCCATATATACAGGCACCTTTTTATCAAGAATAAAATTGAAAGCAATGCCAATGAAGACCATAAATACTATTGGGTTCTGTAATACACGCAGGAATCCAAGTCCCACAATTTTTACTTTGTTTTGAGAAGCATTTTGAGAATCTTTCCACTTCTGGATTTCACAGAAGATAAACCCAATTGGGTTTAACATCATAAGAGATATTGGTGCCACCAAATAAATGTACTGAAGATATTCTGGGTATGTAGTTTGATATAAAGCTTCAACTGCAAAATAAGAATATTGATCTTAAAATGATTACCATAGAAATATATAAATATGCAAATAACATTTTCTGTGCTTAATTTTAGCATATTGCAAATTTATCTAAAGAGTTCCAAATGACCTCATTAGCCTATTTTTTGAAAAGTCGATTTTAGTAATAAAAAATTACTATACTAAATGTAATCTAGTTTACAAAATGATAACCTAAAAAATCTTTTTAATATTTATTTTTTAGTTGTAGTTGGACATAATACCTTTATTTAATTAATTAATTTATTTTCATGTGGTTCTGAACCCAGGGCCTTGCACATGCTAGGCAAGTGCTCTACCGCTGAGCTACAACCCCAGCCACCTAAAATTATTTTTAGTAAAACATAATTAATTTTTACTATCTAGGATCTAAGATTAGTCTTCAAAAACAAACATAAAAAAGGCAGAACTGTAAAAGTTTTAAAAGAAACAATAAAAATAAAAATCTAGTATCAAACTAAATGTTTAAGTAGTAATAGCAACAAAGTGATTGACTGTATCCCTGGAGAGAGCAGCTTCATTGGAGTCATGAGGCATAAGTCAGATTTCAGAGGACTGAGGAAGGTGTAGAGAAAAGGAACTAAAAATGAGCACTGAAGTAATGGAGTCCACACTGTATAGGAAAAGAAGTAAAGATGGGAGGTGACTGACTGAAAGTAGAGAGGTCAGGGACTGGAGGCCCTTATGAAGCTCAAGAATTAAGTGCAGGTGGAAGTATAGGATTCAGAATAGGTCAGATAGTGAGTTGAGTTTAATATTTTCCAGATCACTAGGTCCAGGAAGTGGCCACAGGAGTTGTTCACTGACAGGGAGTAAAGTTATCATTAGAGATGAGGAGGCCAAGGGATCTAGAGGGCCGAGAATTTGATGGGAAGTTCACAAGGATGCTAAAGTCAAACAAGAGAATAGCAAGACTTAGGACAAAGAAGATGACAGCAAGCAGAACAGTAAAGTCTTCAATGAATGAAGAGGGATGGCTAGAATGAAGTCAGAAGATGAGAGCAATGAGGATGAACAGATTGGACAGATAGCATGAACTTCAAAATAGTTGTCAACAACAGAGTAGGGAGCAATGGATTAGCAGTGGTTCACGGCAGCTAGCCAGGTGAGGATGTCAGTCTCACCTACCTCTGGCTCAGGTGGTATGTAGGCTACGGGGTAATGAGTATCCTCCATTTGAGAGGGAATGAAAGACAATGAATACTTTCAGAGAAAACCTGTGACGACACTAAGCAAGTAGGAACAGAAAGTTGGATCTAACAAACGTTTGGGAGAGTAATGAAGTGGAGTCACATAATTGTATGTTTAATAAATACACATTCAACTATACCTTCTTGGGAAAACAAAATCTTTTTTTCTCATATAGCATGTTCTCAAGTACAAACTAATTATTTCACCTGTTGTTCATTAAAGAACAACAAGGCTCAAGGAAAAAATCTGGCTATGTTAGAGTTATAAGAAATAGAATAAGACAAAGTATGTGTGCTGTGTATTATAGGTAATTTAAGGAATTTTCCCAAGGGTTTGAGTATCCATGATGACTTTAGAATCTGACACTATATAAGATGTGTTTCCTTGGAGGGAGGTAAGTGGATTGGATCTGACTTCTAACAGTTTCCTGGAGGAGTTAAGGGTTGGTGGCCTGGTCTGGGATTATCAGGGCAACTTAGAGTCATGGAATAAATAACTTGGTCTGTGGGCACATTTTTGGCAGTAGGTCCCAAATAGAAAAACTGATATAGAATTGAAGTTAAAAAAGATAAAACGTGGACAGGCAGTCACCAAGGAGAGACTCAATCTTGTGGAAAAATGTAAAGATTAGGTTTCTCTGTTTATATTAAGATAAAGTGACACAGGCAGGAAAATATAGTTGTTTACTTACTCAGGATACATAAGTTCAGTTAATGTCATGTGCATGACCCGCTAAAGTTATGTAACTAGATTATATAACCTTTAGAAGTTCACCTTGCTCTCATTAGCCAAAATCATCTTTGTATAAAATTCACCCCCACCCCGCTTTTTTCAGCAAAGCACATAGGAAGTTCTATTATATCTCCAAAATGAAGAAGTTAAAAGATATTTGATTACATAAAGTTTCATAATTTTCACTGAATTCTAAATTATGCTAGCTTTATAACTCTTAGTGGTTTTCTTTCATGTTTCATAAGGTTCATTTTACTTCTAATTAAACATCGTTAAGAGAAAGATACCTGCTCACCACTCAGTTTTTAACTTGAGTGGATATTTTGGAAATGTCTTATGTTTTAAATCTGAGTATAAGAATTTTTCCTAAGCAGGCACACTACAATGCAAAGGTGTTTCCTCTAACAACTTACAGTTGCATGATCTACTCAAAGCCACTTATATTAATGCCCTTTTTCTGAAATTTACTTTCCTGGTACATTAGTAATCCTCATCACATAATAGATTCTGATTGTTTTAGGAGCTCAATGCAACTTTGAGCAACCAGTTTTATTACCTAAGGCTGCCCAATCATCAAATAGTATTTTTGCTTTCCTCAGGTTCAGTAACCTGAGGTCAACAAGAAAGGTGAGTATGTGGAAGGATGAGATATTCTGAAAGAAAAGAGAGACTACATTCACATAACTTTTATTTCAGGAGAATATTATTATGATTGTTCTTTATTGTTAGTTATTATAGTTAATCTCTTACTGTGCCTAATTTATAAATTTAATTTTCTTTTAGGTAGGTGTGTGTGTATAGGATTAAAACATTGGTACCCTCAGTTTCAGGCATCCACTAGGGATCCTGGAACATATTCCTGGCAGATAAGAGGAACCACTGTATTTACTTTCTTCTTTGGCAGGATCTTCTTTATTTTCTCTGCTTGATTCTTACCACTGTTACTAGTTAGAAGTCTCAAAATTAGACTACCTAATGTACTTACTAACATACATTATTTTGGATTTTTTCAATTACTCCCTTCATCCATTTTATTTACTGCTAACAAATCATAACAGTCAAAAGTCAACATTATCCTGCAGTTCTCACTGCTCACAAGAACAACAGCGTTAGAGTGCTCGCCTAGCACAGATGGGACCCAGGTTCGATCCTCAGCTCCACATAAAAAATAAAATAAAAGCATTGTGTCCATCTACATCTAAAAAATAAATGTTAAAAAAAAAAGAACAACTATAAAGCCTCTTTTGATTTTTTTTTTCCTTGTGGTGCTGGGGATTGAACCCAGGGCCTTGTGCATGCGAGGCAAGCACTCTACCAACTGAGCCATATGTGTAATATGAAATGAATTGCATTCTGCCATCATGTATAACAAATTAGAATGAATAAATAATTTAAAAACAAAACCAAAAAAACCTCTTTTGACATAAACATCCCAGTTGCCACAATTGAATTTGGTATTTACCTACCTCAGCCTCCCTAGTCACTGGGGTTACATACAACTGCACCCAGCACCCTCTCTTTCCTGAGTCTTGCCTACTATTTAAGGCCAGTCTCTCATGCTACTTCTTCCACCAAGTCTTCAATTTATAACATCAATCTCTCCTCTGGAATGCTATGGTACTTTGTTCCATATTAGTACTACTTTGGCAAATTCTAAGTTCCTTAAAGGCATCATTTTATGACCCATAGTCCCTAGCACAGTGCTGAACAAATCTGAAAATACTTGCTGAATGGGATTAACTTCCCATCAATGAATGCTAAAGTTTTCAGACTAGCAAAAATGTATTTTGTAACACACAATAATTTTTTATCTAATCAAAATCAATTAATCCACTTCTTTTTAGATCAGTTTTTCATGTTTTTTGCTTTTATGTGTGTTGGGATGAGTTCTGCAGATTGTACCCAGGGGCACTCTACCACTGACCTACATTCTCCAGCCTATTTTTGAGAGAGGGTCTCATTAAGTTATTGAGGCTAGCCTCAACTTGAAAACCTCCTTAGACTCACACGTAACTGGTGTTATGAACATGTGCCAACATGCCCAGCTGTTTTTTGCTTTTAGAAAATCTATTTTTTAATTGACAAATAAAAATTAAATATAATTATTTGTAGATACTGTTTGTATACATTGGGGAATGGCTAAATGGAGCTAATCACATACTTATCATTTTTGTTATGAAAACACTTATAACCTACTCTTAGCAATTTTAAAAAATATAAGACATTAACTGTAGTCACCATGTTGTACAGCGCATCTCTTGAACTTATTCCTCCTAACTGAAATCCTATAAGTGTTTTTTAACTTTTTACATACTATGAATATTTACAAGCTAGTTACAATTGGGGTTTTTAAGCTCAGCTGAACAAGTGTTCAAAGGCAAAAGCAGTATAGTCTAGTGGGAGAGCAAAAATTGTGATTAAATGCTTATTAAATTATTAGAAGAATAGGGTTCAACATGGGAATTTTAGTCTATGTCAGCCATTCACTTGCATAATTATTTAACATTATATCTTTATCTATAAATTGGCATTGCTTTTGTTATCAATCTGAAGATGGTTTTTCAATCTGAAAAGAAATTACATATGTACATGGAAACCTACAATAACTAAAATTAGATTTATAATCATTATATCAACTATTAAGTTATAATTAATTAATGCTTATAAATAAGGCTCTTGGAGGGAGGGAGAAATCCCATTATGAGGACTTATTATATAGCTTTGAAGAACTAAGAGATAAAATTAGCCACCTACTGTGGCTCCTATTTTGATTCCTGCAGGGCTTCAATCTCTAGCAAATAACACAAAGACTCTGACAAGATCATTCTATTATATAATGGCATATAGTTAAATGCTTCATTTCCTTTCTGTTTACAGCTCAAGCACTAGGGCATAATTATGATTAGTCAGGGTACTTATGCTATCAGCATTGTTTGAAGAATAAATTATAGGACTTAACTATGCCCTATTAGTATCTTTTAATGACAGAGGCAGGGAACCATTCTGATTTGCTGAAATCAACATTTCACCTTGGTAGATTCTTGGTTTCTTCTACACTTGGATTTTTAAAGTACTTTTGAAAATAATTGTTCTAAAAAACAGTGGGCTTTTTTAAAAGTCTGTCATAATGCACTATTCTGTCACTTGAGTAAAAAAAAATCACTTTAATGTAATTTTATAGACCATTATAAATGTTATGGTATTCCAAAAAAAAGGAAATGTGACTACCCTTTTTCTTTATTTATTAACTTATCTGCCTTTTCTTTGCTAGCATTTTTCAAATCACCTATAAATTGGACAGATATGGAATAAATGCAGTCTTAAAAAGGACATCTTTTTAGAACTCCCAATTGATGCTCCTCTGTGAACAAGAGAGTGGGAATTCTTGGGAGAGGCTACAGAACAAACAGAAAGGTCTTCTCTCTGGAGAGGCTTCTCTGTTCACCCTGTACAAGGCCAAAAGGCAGATGGACATAGGCAGCAATAATAAACAACCTCACCCAGGAGCAGACACATGCCTATATAGTTCAGTATCACATTTTCCAATCTGAAGGCATATGAGAAAGTTGACTATGTTATTGGGTTTTAGTAAAATTATAGACTAAAACCTAATGTTATAAGAGTTCTTATTATTTGGGTGTAAAAAAAAATAAAATAAAATACAAAAATTGCAACCCAAAATTGGCATACACATCAAGTAAATTTGGGCAAGCACATGCCCAACATGATTATTACTAGATTCACAAAAATAACATGGGACACAAGAAGAGCAGGATGAGAATGGCTGGTTACATTCTTTATTTAGATATTCTGCCTTGATAAAAAATTTGATTAATTCATCTAATAGATCTTTTTTCATTACTGCTCATTTCATGGAAAATGTAGGAATACCATAGGGACAAAGAATTTTGATTCTGTCTGAAAATAATGTATAACAAGGGCTGGTTGGGTGTTCTGAGATAAACTTGGCATGTTATATAGCTATGTGGCACAAGAGAATGCCCAGGACTTAGAATCAGAAAACTTAGGTTTGAATCTCAGTCACCTGTTAGCTGTGTGACCTGGAATAAAACAATCTCTGTAAGCTTATCTGCTTATTTGAAAATGAGGATAATAGTATCTGCTCTATTCAAATGAGATAAGTGTAAGAAACTACTCTGTAAACTACAAAGTTATAAATGTTAGTTTTGTTTAGTTATGGGTTTACTAATCTATGAGATTATATGAAACTTATATACTTCTAATTGATGTCAAAGTAAGATAAATAAGATAAGCAATATTTATTAAATATATAAACCATGGTACTGAGCCACTTCTAAAGTTCTTATATCATAAATATATTGACCAATCTGTTATTAGTTCTGAGGAAATGGTCAAACACATTAACTCCTCGATCTTCTATTTCCAAAAATCTTTTCCTTTAAAATTCAATAACCTTAAAGGAACACCTATTTAGTTTCTTACTATTTATAGCTCAGTTACCTAAGATTCTAGTTTTCCGTCTCTTAAGCCCCCTGCTTTACTCATGGTTATTTGATTTCTTTAGTATTTTTAAATTTCGGGTAAGTGAGATGGAGGAAGGTCAAAGGTGGAAAAAGGTATGAAGTATAGTTCACTAGAGTCTCTTTGGTACCAGTGGTGAAATAAGTTGGGGGTGGGAAGAGAGGATGAAATGAATGGATAAGAAACTTAAAAGTTAAGGTAGTTTTCAGTTGTATACTTTAAAATTCCAATCACATTTCTGCTCAGAAGATATCATCAAATAAGCCTTAACTGACCACCTTGTCTCAAATGCCATCTTCTCATTCCTCTTCCTCTACACTACTTATTTGTTTACAGGGGTATTCCTAGCAGCAGGCACAGTCACGGGCATATAACAGTGCCTTATGAGTGAATGAATGACTATATCCATACAAGTCAGGTCTGCACATTGCGATTCATGATCAAAATACACATAACTTTAATTTTAATATATAAAAAAGAAGCTACTAGGTGTACTTTTTCTTGGTGGCCGAGTGTTCTGAAAAATAGAGTACGTTTCCTTCCAAGATATCCCAACATTTCAAATTGGTTTATTTATTGTTTTTCAGGAAAACATACACATATAGAAACATAAAATTAGGGTGCTTAAAGAGATGGAAAGATAAAAATACCCTTACCATTTCTGTTCTTAAATAATAATTTAACTTCAATGAAAATACTCTGAAATTTTGAAAACAATAAAAGCTTCAAAATAATTTTTAAAGTAAAACCAAACATATATATAGTAAGAAAAATAAAGAAGGGGAAAAGATCACTCTCAATGAGCATAAATTTCTAATGCTAATACTTAGTAATGACTATTTTTATATAAATGTAAGTTTTCTTTACATAATTTAAATCAGAATCTGAGCCCTTCTGGGAAATCATATTTCTTTCATATGTGATTTTTAAGAAGAAATAGAATACTATTAGAAAGAATATTTACACAGGTTATGAGGATATGACCATTTATTTTAGGTAGGTGTTTTAAGGATCCTTAAACTCCGATGTTGAGGGAAAATTATAATCCATCCTAATTTATGATATATTTAAGAAAAAATTTGAAAGATTTCTTAAATTCAAGAATAAGAATCTATTACTAACAAATGCTTAGATTTAAAGCTTATATTTGTTACCTCCTTAAACACCTGAATTTTTTAAAAATTGAAAAAACAACAACAAAGAACTTACCTATAGGGTATCCCAATGCAAAGTCATTACTTTGTGTAGCAAAAATAGGGAATAGTCCAGCTTTGCTAAATCGACTATCAGGACTGGCAACCAGTAAGGTTAATACACATACAATGAAAAACACAGAAGCTTTGCCAATTAAGATACTGTATAAGAAAGCCCAATCCACGTTGGAAAAGTTAAGTACAACCATGTTTTTGAATAATAAAGCCGGAAGTGCAAATCTGGAGACAAAATTTCCCAGTCCTTTAGCCTGTGTTGATGTTATGACATTGGCCCTTCCTGCTATGTAGCCACAAAGGACTATGCCAAAACATTCTAGTAAGGCTGGAAAAAGCCTTGTTATTGACATTGAAGGTGAATCATTAGTGGAATTGAATCCATGTGTTACTGTGGTAGATGAAGTCTCAGATACATTGACGGCAATGGTTGAATTCTCTGTAGGCAAATTAGAAAAGGAATCCATTTTCTCTCACTCTCCAACTCTGGTCAGATCTCTGAAAAGAAAATTCAGTGTAACAATACGAAGAATTCTAGCTGAAAGGAAACACTGCAAATTTAGAATTATTTACTTATTAAATGGTTAAATAATTATACATACTTCCTTCAACGATCACCAAGGAAAAATATAATGCAAATAAAGTGGGGATGGGGAGGATGCTAACATTAACATTTTTAGTCTCAAAGGTAGGTCAGCTCAAACATTTGTATTGCTACTCTACATTCCTATCCAACATATGTTAAATAAGATTTACAAATATTACAGCTGCAGTGATGCCCTGTGGCTCTTCTCTCCAGTGATCCACAACTGAGGTATCTAATATTTAAGAGATGGGATCCACAGAGTCTCTATTGTTGTCCACTTGCATCCAGATTCCCTGGAAATTTCAGAAGTTCTCAGGGGATGACCAAGGAGTCATTCTGAGTCCCTTCCAGACTGTGATCATAATTGAGTATAAGGAAAAAGAATACAGTATAGCATCGCTTATCAACTTTGAACCAATAACTTTAACTTTTCTATGCCTCACTTTATCTGTGAAATGGCAATAACAGTCTATACCTCACAAAAACGTGAGCCTATTCAAGTAAAGTCCTTATGATCACATCTGGTGAATTAAACAAAGCTAAATATAACTTTAGATTGAATATGAGAGCATGAAAGACAAAATTATGAAAAAATGGTGGCATTCCATCAACCTACACATACTGACTGGCCCAAGAGTTCCTTTGTACCACAGCGACTTTGCACATGCAAAACCACTCTAAAAACATTCCCTACCTACCTGTCTACCACTATGCACATAATTAACACCTACTGATCCTCCAAACCATATAATTCATTAGCCAAGTCAAGTTTCTTTCAAATGGAATGATTATTCTTACCTTTAACCACTTTTTTCTCATTTTGTAATTATACTATATATTAGAGTGACTATAGAACTTATGTCTGTCTCCCTCACCAGATGTAAGTGTAACAGAAGAAAGAACTAAGCATGTCTTTGTTCACTGTTGTGTCCCTAACATCTAGCATAATATCTGGCACACAAGAAACATTGAAAAAAAGTTCTTGTTTAATGAATCACTAAAACAGTATCTTGTACATAAATAAGCTCCCTAACCTTTCATGGATCAATGTTCTCTTTCAAGCATTCTCTAGTTTGTGGATTTTTTTTCTGATTAATAAAATATTCTATTTTTTTTTCACTATAGCAACAGGCCCTAGAACACAAAATGAGCCCTAAAATGTTCTAAAGATGTTCATAAAATGTTAAAGAACACAAATATGTTGTAAAACATTATGAAGATGTTCCAAAAATGCTCAACAAAGAACAAATTCTGGATGTTAATATGACAAAAAATTATCAGATTCTCCTCTTGCTGCCAGGGACACAATGAAGAAAAGGTTTGGATGACTCTGAAGTTAAACAGCTTTTATTAGTAATTTTATTAGTAATTTGAAGTTAATATGATAATTATTGCCAATTTCTAAGTAATTATTCTGGGTTTACCATCGAGAGTGGCCTTATATAAGGCAGAAAGTAAAAAGGCTCATGCTTCCTGAAATTTATAATACCCTGCCTGGTTAAGTTATCAAATATCCTCAGCACATTAAAAAAGACTCAGATGACAGGCCAGAGATCAACAGGTGATATATGGAGATGTGTAAGAGAATTTTCTCTATCCTACCCTTGTATAAACCAAACCACTTTAAAATCTTACATTCAATCTGGATTAGGACAAGTATTTTTCTACCAGGATTAGACAGGAGTGTTTCAATATAAACAAACCTGACAATACTCACGTACTTGAAGTTTACCAAATGAGCATCAAATTATATCCTGGGAAAGTTATTCATTGGTACAAATACCCATACTTGAAGCAGCTGGTAAACAAAGATGTTAAACATTTGGAGCCATTAAGAAATGTGGACTTGGAAAGGCAGTTGTAAAGAAGAAGGTGATAAAATATTCCAGTCTTCTGATGTTTTTCAAAAGTTCTCTTTGTTTGGAGTATTAATAACTCATACTGCTCCACAATCTCTTATTTGGACCACAAAAACATATCAATGTAGTCCAATATTTTTAAAAAACAATTGTAACTAACAGTAGTTCAGTGAAAACAATCTAACAGATTCTGGACCATAACACTTACCAACACCTTGGGTCAGTGACTCCACCTCCCTGAATTTCAGTTTCCTCAACTGTAAAATGACAGTAAAAACCATCTCAGAGGGATATTGGGTAGATGGGCTATTTTATGCACAGCATATCACAAAGTAGGCCTTTAAGAAATGGTAGCAATTGCTGTTAGAAGCTATAGTCCTAACAAGAATGGTAACAAAGTTAATAAAATGTATTCCTGGTTCTCCAAATGTACTAGGTATTAAAGATCCCCCAACTAAACTAGAGGATAGCATATGTCAGGAAGTTATAAGCTTCTGTTTTATAATCAAATTAAGGGAGGTTGAATTTAATTTGGTTTGATCTTAAATAGCTGCTAACAGTAAAGGGAGCTCTTCATTTTTCTCTGTGATGGTCAAAAAATTGTAGCAATGTTCAGAGTTAACTTTCAATTAATTGAAAATTAAAAGAAAAACTTCGAAAAGTAACTTCTTCCTTCCTATGAGGTTTCTTTTAATGTTTTCCAGTATTATAAAAGCAACACCTGCTGAGGGAAAAGTCAAAACAATCAAAAGGATTTAAAAAGTTTTATCCATCCTAATCTTTATTTATTTATTTTCTTTTAGAGGTGCCAGGGATTGAACCTAGGGTTGCTCCACCACTGAGTTACATCCCAGTCTTTTTTATTTCTTATTTTGAGACAGGGTTTCTCTAAATCGCTGGCCTTTAACTTATAATCTTCCTGCCTCAGCCTGCCGAGTAGCAGGGAGATTACAGGCTCATGCCACCACTCCTGGCTCATCTTAAATCTATTTTAAACGTGAAGAAAATATGCTTCCAAAAGCATATTTTAAAAATGAACAGAAACCATAGCAAGGGAAGTTTTTAAAAATTACATCCAGTCTTTTCATCTATAAAAGTAAGGCTTCTTACAGAACAAACAAGTTGACCTGTCACAGTACAAGACGGTTCACCGGACCAGGTACTGGAGAAATTATGTATACAAACTGCGTCTGGCCCCTTCATATTTGACTTAGAAAACATCTGCAAACCACATAAATTGCAAATAATAATTAAGTGAAAACAGTGTGTGTTAACATCAAAGAGAAAGCTGTAAACTCTTAGGCTATTTCTCAAACACGGACATCCTTTATCCCATGGGAAAAGCCCAATACAGTGAGAAACTACTAAAGAATTCTACAATACGAATAGTCATACCATTCATCCACTCCCACCTACTTGCTGGGGACCAAATGTCCTCCCTAGGGAACCCATGGTGGGGAGCGCTGAGCATTGCCGTCTTCCTTTATCTTCAGGGACAGACTTTAGCCCTTCCAGATAAGGAGTGCGGAGAGTCCCTAACTAAATACTGTCCAGAGGGCAGCTGCCACCCAACGCCTTGGGAAAGCAGTGGAAATGGAAAAGGCAAATGGGTAAGAAAAAGGTGGTCGCTCAACTTTGCAGGGCATGGAAGTCACAAGGTCATGGTTAACTAAAATGTTCTAGGTACCTGAGCAGATGCTTTCAGGAGGGCAGATACTGTGGCCACCCGCGGGATAAAAGGAAGAGTCGGAGAATGACAGGGTGGTTACACGTGCAGTGAGGCGCTGTCCACACTGGGAAATGGTAGTTCTGCCACGGGAGGGAACAAGCCGCCCTTCCTGCGCAAGCCTTCCCAGGTGGTCCCACACGGGCCAAAGGCAGGCGATGAGAGGCAGAGGCGAGCAGACGCAGGCAGCGGGCCGCGGGGCCAGAGCGCGGAGGGAGGGCAGGGCGCTGTCCACCAGCCCAGCCCCGAAGGGCGGGGGCGGGAGCATCGGGTGCCCGCTAGGCAGAGTCAGGGCGAGGCGGGTCCGCGCCCAGGGGCCCTAGCTCACCTGCTACGTCTGCAGCCCTGCGGCCGCGAGAAGGGAGTCGGTACTTGCCGAGGGCCAAGCAGCAAGGAAATCACCGTCATCTCCCGCCCCCAGCCCTCCTCGGCAGAGTGCGGCCGCACGTTCCGAGAAAGTGAGGTGGGGTAAGCCACTGCGGCCGGGTCGGCCCCTCCCGGTGCCGGCTTTTGGCCCCGCCCCCGTCCCGCCTTCAGCCCCCGCCCCCGGCCTCCAGCTTCGGGAAACCTGGCGCGCGCCTCGCCTGCAGGCCCGCCCCAGCCTCCAGTCGCACAGCCCCCGCCCCTTCCTCAGGCCCGCCCCCGGTCCCTAGACTAACCGCACAGCCCCGCCCCCGCTTCAGGCCCCGCCCCAGTCTCCAGCTTCTGGGCCATACCGCCCCCGCGCTAGGCCCCGCCCGGCCACCACAGCCTGCCGCCCGCGACTTCCGGCCCGGCCCCTAGAAGATGGCGGTAGGCGCGCGGGATTTCCAGGGCTTGCTGGTCTTTCTCCTCTGGTCGAGTGCGGAGCTCTCTCGTCTTTCTGGCTAACGTCAGTGTCGTGTATTGAGATCTGCTAGTTCCCCTCTTGGTTAGTGTAGTCTTTGCATAGCACAGAATATAAAAGCAAGGACTGAGACTCAGATCAGTGTCGAATCCTGCCTCCCATCTTTCCTAAGGAAGTGTGACCTTGACCTTCGAAATCAGATTAAAGTGTAAAGCTTTAGCATTGTGTTTGATTTAGAATAAGAGCCTTATTAGTAACTGCTTGTATTTCTAATTTTGGGGAAGTATAAAGGCAGTATAACCTCAATATACTGAGAAGAATCTGCCTGTATCGGAGGCTAACCTCTGAGCTTGAAGTGAAGGTCCTCAGACACAGTGTGCCATTTTCAAAACTGAAGAAGCCCAGTACTTGGCTAATGCCATGAGAATCAAAATTATTTCATATTTTAAAATATTTATAACCTGATCCCACTTAATATCTCCACAGCATTTTTTTTAAAAATCTTTGCATTTTTAAAAACTGTTCTGTCTGGCAACTTAAGGACATTCTTGTCATCCTGTCATCTCTGCAGTTTCAGTGCAAAGATATAAAACTATGTAGCTTCCGAGAAATGACTCAGTAAGTTAAGCATAGGTTAAAGGGTATGGAACTTAGAGAAAATGAACGGAATTGAAACTATAGAAAAGGCATGCATCCTCCTCCTGCTTTCTTACACTTCTTTGTTCGTTGTGTTTTTCATTTTAACAGCCTTTTATGTTTCTCTTGAACCTGGCTACTTAAAACAATCTTCTTAATACCCCAGTTATCTCTATTTAGAAAGTTTAGAGATTAATTCAATTAAATAAATACTTACTAAGCTTTGAGTATTAGGGGACTACTAATAAGATAGGCCTAGAAAGTTAGCATCAACCTGTAGGAGGTTCCTTAGATTAGCCTTAGAATTTGAATTTCATTCTTTGACCACAGTGAAACCATCAAATTTTTCCCCCACAGAACCATATGATCACACTACTTTTGGATGTGTGATCTGGAAGCTTTCTCTGGATTAGTTGAAAGACTGAAGGCAAGAAAAGCAGTATGGTGATTTGGGGAAAACCCAAGACATAAGGAAATGAAGGCCTACTCTAGGATGATGGCAGTGAAAAGAATGGAATTGGCTTAAGAAATATTCTAAAATGAGAACTGATGTGACTAATAGGGCTAACAAAGAAGAAGGCGTTAATTAAACTATGTATTTCCTCATGTATTGCAATGAAGAGAAGATATTGGTGTAGTGAGCTTTTACTATCTCTTCCAGTTTTAAAATCCATTGTTTTCTGTAATTCTTTTATCTGAAGATGAAAGGAAGAAATATTCCTAAAACAGTTACAAGGAGGGTGAATTTGATTTTAGACCTAAAATCTAAAACTTTGGGAAGCAATCTTGTGTCGTCTTTTTTCTTGAAGAAGTTATTTGCTCCATCTGAGGCCTTATGGGATTAGAACACCCAACTGGCTAGGGGTGAGAATTAGAATGAAAGACCTCACTGTCTTGTGAGCTAACTACTTATGAAGGCATTGGCATATGTGCATAAACATTTCTGGTATATACCCAGAGAGAAAAAAGAGAAGCTCAAGAGATGGAACAGCACTAAAGATGTGTGGACTGACTGAGTTTTCCAAGAACAATATCTTGTGGAGGGAAACTGTAGGAACAAAGTGAAGAAAAAGATGACAGACTTCAGTGAAAAGTCATGTTTATGTAAGCAATTAGTGGTAAAAGCCATAAGAAAATCATTTGATTTCATTATCAAATCTACTAATCATTCTGTGTAATGCAGATCTCTATTAATTATAATGTTAATTGAGTGAGGAAAAGCTCAAAGTTATGCAGACCAATGAATAAAAACTATAAATTTATCTTAACTTCCACTACTTACAAATAAGTTATTTGTAGCCATTCTTGAACCCGTTGCCTTCAACTCCAGCTGATTGAGAGGAGGAATAAAACAAGTGTTTTGACTCAATGATAAGTGTCCTGTAGGTATATGTTGAGACAATGTGATGTGCATGTAGATTCCTGATAAAATTTTGCTTTTTCCAAAATGAAGTAGTTCTGATTTTTCTCTGATTTTTAAAGTGTAAATAACCATTATAAAATATTCAGATAATACAGAATGGAATGAAGAAAGTGAAATCATACCTATAAATAACCTGTTAATATTATAAATGATATTATATCACTTTCTGTGCACATGCAGCTTATTTAAGGAAAATGGGATTATAATACATATGAGATTTTAGTACCTTTTTCCTTTAATAATATTAACATTTTAACCCATAGATATTTTCAGCATTTCTAATGAAATGGTGAAAATTAAGTATTACCTAATGAAAAAAATTTTTAAATATACTTTTAGTTATAGTTGGACACAATATCTTTATTTTATTTATTTATTTTTATGTGGTGCTGAGGATGGAATCCAGCGCCTTGCACATGCTAGTTGAGTGCTCTACTGCTGAGCCACAACCCCAGCCCTACCTAATGAAAATTTGAGGATGATCTTCCATGAAAAAGTGGCAATTAAGTGTAATTGAAGAATAGAAATGTAAAAGAATGACTTAAAATGTGTTGTTTGAATATATCTAATATGATGTAAGTTTCTTTTAAAACAGCTTCTTGTGTGTTTGTGTGTGTTTAACTTTTTATTGGACTATTATATTTACACAAATTAGTGGAACTCATTGTTATTTATTTGTACATGTACACAATGTAACAGTATACTTTTGGTCAATTTCATCCTGAAATATTTAGTTTCTGGAAAACTCTCCTCCTCCTTACAACAGTACCATTTTTCTCTAGGTATCCATATGTTCCCAGAGAAGTTGACATCCTTCCACCTTAAGTGGTAATGTAATCTTGCCTATCCAATCAGTACATGGCATGCTTTTGAACTTAGTGATTTAAGTCAGAGTGGGCATTTACCCTAATGTACTTCAACATAATGACTCTTAAGACTTTTGCAGAAATTATTGATGTTCTTTTTTGCTGGACAAGAGGAAGATGCTGACAGCCTTCTTGGGACCGTGAAAGAAATCATCCTTAAAATGATGCAGATACCAAGTTTGGCACAACAGAGAGAAGGAAGTAATAGGGAACTTGATGACATATTATACATGTGAAGTAGCCTCACAAGTTTACCTGGGGATCTTTCATTTGTGTGAACCAGTCATTTTTTATTTTTATTATTTAAACAAGTTTGAGTTGAATTTTCTGTTACCTGAAATCAAATTCATGGAAAAAATTCTAAAAGAAAATACCTACAGTGATTATCTCTGTATAACAAGAGTACATATGATTTTTTTCTGTGTAGAAAAGTTCTCAAAATTTCTATCAAAAATGTGTATTAATTTTATCAGGAAAAAGTCTGAAGTAAGTCATAAAGGATATATTTTGGTTATATGGAAATGTTAAAAAATACTTAATAAAAATTCTTCTAAATCACTACCAAGTACTAAAACAGGTAGGTAAACTAAATTCACCCATAAAACAGAACAATTTAAGAGCACTGATACAGTGAAGTACATAAACTTATATTATACAAAGGCTTTGTGTTTGTTAATCTTTGTACCCTTAGTACTTAGACTAGTGCTTTCTCTGGCATATGATAGACATTCAGAAATGTTTTTGAATGATTGAATAAAACTGATTTCCACTAGATATCTAGGAAGTTGAAATGTACTTCTATTTAGTGGGAGCTATTTGATATAAGCAATGGAGATACAGCTCTTTTACAATAAGTGGATTTCTTATTTTTTCCTAGCTTTCACTTGTGCTTTTTGTTTATAGCCTTATTTAAATATTCTTCCAAATTTCTGAATTCTTTTTGTTATTATAAATGCTTTAATTTAATAATTTAGTTTCTCATCTGTCAGGGTAACACCCTGAAAATTTTCTTTTAACTTAATATTTGTAATAATATGTGTGTTTGAAGAAATGGCTACTAGTTTTTTCTTTCCTTTCAATTTTATTACTGAAATATTCTCACAAAAGCAATGAAAGAAAGTGGAGCCTAACCATCTCACATTATTATTATTATTATTATTATTATTATTATTATTGCACTGTGGATTAATCTTAGGGGCACTCAACCATTGAGCCATATCCCCAACCCTATTTTTGTATTTTATTTAGAGACAGGGTTTCACTGAGTTGCTTAGCACCTCACTGTTGCTGAAGCTGGCTTTGAACTTGTGATCCTCCTGTCTCAGCCTCCCAAGCTGCTGGGATTACAGGTGTGTGCCACTGTGCCTGGCCTTTTATGTTTTTGATGTTGTTGTTTTGTAGTACTGGCCATTGAATCCAGGAACACTACCACTGAGCTACATCCCAGCCCTTTTAATTTTTATTTCAGGACAGGGTCTCACTTAATTGTTGATGCAGGCTTTGAATTTGTAACCCTCCTGCCTCAGCCTCTGGAGTAGCTGGGATTATGGGAATGTGCCACTGCTTCTGACTTTGATCTTTTTATCTACTTAGGTAATGTTTGAATATGGGTAAATAGGCAGAGGCTTTTAACTGGGCCAGCACTTAAGACATTAAGAAGAGAAACAAAACAGAATTATGTGATGAAATTATAAGCTAATTCAGTTACTTAGATAAGACAGAGAGTAGAAACTATTCAATAGAAGCATGGTAAGTTTGGGGGCTCAGCCAGTCTCTTTCAAGACTTAGTTTCTTAATACCACACTTTTTTTTAAGGTCAGAGATATGAAATAGGAAATGAAAGACAAAAAATACACTTGTTTCTTCTAGCTTGTTCATTAAAAAGTGGGCTCACTGACGAATTTAATAAGCATTCTTTAGTGAAGTGACCTTGTAACTGCAGAGCATTTTCTAATGTGAATAGTGTCTAAAATGAAATACTGCTGGATGTGATGGTGCAGGCCTGAATCCCAGCCTCTTGGGAGGCTGAAGTAAGAGGATTGCAAAATCAAAACCAGTCCCAGCAACTTAATGAGGCCCTAGGCAACTTAGTAACCCTGTCTCAAAAAAGAAGGACGAGGCGTAGTTCAGTAGTAAAGCACCTCTGGGTACAATCCCCAGCGCCAAAAAAAGAAAAAGAAAAAAAACGAAATACTTAAAATAACCAATTTTGTACATTAGAAAGAGGAAGTGGAGAAAACCTCAGATTTTAACGTTGATTTGGAATAAGTAGGCTTTTAGCCACTTCTAGTTAGAATATGTGTAGAGCTGGTGAATGAATAGTTAGCTAAGAGGGTGAGAAAAGAAAGCTCTCACATGCGCAGTCCAACAATTAAGCCCAGTACCTCAGAAGCTTTCTTTTTGTAGAGTATGTATTTCAAGGGTTCCAGTCTTCTTCCCTCCTTGAAGGGGCAGGTCGTCCATCTGTTGATTTCCATAGTATTCTAAGTGCCTAGAACAGTGCTTGTCACATAGTAGGCACTTGTTGACTTCCTAACTCTTGGAATACAAGCCAAAAGGTATGTGAAGTTTTCTGTATTTAGAGAATCACTTAAAAAACGGAAACACCTGCTCTTTCTTGGCCTGTTTCTTTCACTTTCGGTAAAAGTAACTGATGGAAAAGAAGAATCAGAACTCAATTATCTGTGTGGCAACAGAGGAACCAGATCAGTAGTTGAAACAGAATAAATGTTGAGGAATCATCACTGGTTGTAATACAGACTAAATATGATAAAGTGTTTCTATAATTAATTGTACAAATATTTAAATGTCCCTATAAGTCCAAAGGGACTTATGTATATTTCCTTTACTCTCTTATGCATGCTTTCCCTAACCCTTTCCAAAACATTGAAACTAGAAAGAAAATTTACAGCTTCTGAGCTGCAAGAAAATTACCCAGACCTTGTCACAAAGAGGCCTAGTCACTAGTTTGACAGTCATTATTGTTGGAGAATAAAGTGGATAAAAGTGAGTTTCTCATGCAGTGTTAATTGAGGTTTCTGTACTATGTAGCTAGTAGTAGCCTGGTTAACTATATCCTCAAGTCTGGCTTATTATTAGTCCTAAAGGCCTATCCCAAACCCTCCCACATAGGTTTACAATATGCATTCATTATGGAGATGATATTTATGGTGATGTTAAGATTTGGTTAAATTCCTAGAAAACACTTTAAAAAATTCATTTCATATGTTGCCTCAATAAACTGATCAACAATTTTCCTTTTTTTTTTTTTAACCCACCTAGGTCTAGTATAAAAAGTTGAAGCCCAAGACTGGGGCTAAGTTTCACTGGTAGAGCCCTGGGTTCAATCCTCAACAGGAAAAAAAAAAATCACACCCAATATTTACCATAGTGAATTGATTTGTTTGTTTTAGTGACAAAATTAGATCATCCCTGAGGGCAATAGGAACATTTTAAGAAATCTTTGAGCTACATACAAAGACCCCAATAAAATTGAGAAGACCCTCTCTGAATCTCTTCTCAACCATTGGAATTTCACCCATCCAGCTGCAAGTGTTAAAAATTGGAGAATTATGTTTGTCCAAAATCCTTTCCTTACTATGGAAGGTGGTAAGCAGGGAACGAGTGTGACCTCTGTTACATGGAAGTTAGCTTGTATACGAAGGTTGGAGAGGAGAAAGCCTTCATTTCAAATGATGTAGAACATTAGTGAACATAACTGCAAAGTAACTGAAGAAGGGAAATTTGTCTCCCCAGCTCTTGGAAATAAGAGCAGTGTTGCAATGGATCCACTGAGTATAGGTGACCAATGGAAAACTCCTGTAAAGAGACAGCAGGGACAGGGATTATACGGTGAGGAATGTTTCCCAAAACAACAGGGGGTTAGAGTTTAGACCTTTCCTCCCAACAGAACGATAGCTGTTCTGTTCTTTTTTCTTCAGGCCTCAGTCTTAATGTGCTTCCAGGCACTCTATCATTCTTATACTTTCTCAGCATTTTCTCATCTTTTTAGTCGTCTCATCTTATTATTACATGCTAGTGATTTGGTGCTACCAGGCTACTGCTTGTTCTACACATTATTTGTTCAGTATGACTTGCATGTGTGGCTACTGGACAAGAGCCTCAGAAGGCCAAAATGGGAAGAACATGGGGTGAAGAGCAGTCATAAAGATTGAGGATTTAAGCAATATTCTTAATCACAGTCAGGAATCCAAAGGTCGGTCACAACAGTTTTCAACTAGAATCATCTGGGGAAAACGTGTTTGTGTGTGTGTGTGTGTGTGTGCATTACTGATTGAACCCAGGGTCTCACGCTTGCTAGGCAGGTGCTAAGTGTACCACTTGGCTAATTCTTCGGCCCTTTCTATTTTTAACAGGGTATACTAAGTTGCCCAGGCTATTCTCAAACTTACAATCCTCCTGCTCCAGCCTCTTTTGGGGAATATAATGCTTAAAAATATAGATGCCAGAACCCCATGCAGACTTTCTAAATCAACATCACTGCAGTTGGGTCCTTGGTCTGTATTTTATTTTTTCATATTCTCAGATGTTTCTAATACAAATTCTTGGTCAAGAGCTATTCATCTAGGTAACAAACTGAAAAGTAGAAATAAATCTTAAAAGCAAGTAGTATTTGTATGAGAGGAGCACAGAAAATTTTTCTAGAGTCTTAGTACTCTCTGGGGAGAAATGTATTCTCATTATAGGAAAAAAGTCACATTGAATCTGGCATCTTCCTTGAGAAAACCATTTCGGTAACCTTTTCCATTTGTTTGGTTTGTCCTTTGTGGAGAAGAGCAAAACAAAGTACAACAAACCACTCTCTTTATGTCTTGTGAATATATACCACATCTTCACTATAGTGCCATTTTTCAAATCCCAGGCACAAAGTGCACATCAAGGGAGAATTAGTTTTCTGTCAATACGTTAAGCATATTGTGAATCATGTAACAGAATATCAGTGCAGTCATTTCACCATCTCTTAAAACTAAAGTTTTTGAGAAATAATCAAAATCCCTCCCATTTTTCCTCAGAGATTCTATTTATAAAATATAGCTTTTAAATAATCTTTTCTTTAATATTTGTGCATGTGGCATCTTATTTAAAAAATTCTTCCCTGCATCAAGGATGTGGGGAAAAAAGCACACTCATATACTGCTGGTGGGACTACAAATTGGTACAGCCAAAATGAAAGCAGTATGGAGAATCCTTGGAAAACTGGGAATGGAACCTCTATTTGACCCAGCAATCCCACTCCTTGCTCTATACCCAAAGGACTTAAAAACAGCATACTAAATGTTTATAGCAGCATAATTCACAATAGCTAAACTGTGAAACCAACCTAGATGCCCTTCAGTAGATGAATGGATAAAGAAAATGTGGTATATATACACAATAGACTATTACTCAGCAATAAAAGAGAATAAAATCATGGCATTTGCAGGTAAATGGATGGAGTTGGAGAATATAATGCTAAGGGAAGTTAGCCAATCCCAAAAAACCAAATGCTGAATGTTTTCTCTGATATAAGGAAGCTAATTCATAGTGGGGTTGGGGGGAGGAGCATGGGAGGATTAGATGAACTCTAGATAGGACAAAGGGAGGGGAGGGTAAGGAAGGCGGCATGGGGCTAGAAAAGATGGTGGCATGTGATAGACATCATAACCCCAAGTACGTGTATGAAGACACGAATGATATGGATATACTTTGTATACAACCAGAGATATGAGAAGTTGTGTTCTATATGTGTAATATGAATTGTAATGCATTCTGCTGTCATGTATAACGAATTAGAATAAAAAAATTCCTCCCTGCATCAAGTTGATAATGATATTCACCTACATTTTCTTCTAAGAGTTAAATGACTTTTAAAATTGTTATTCTTGGTACCATCTTTCAAATTTCCATTTGTTATTAGAACCCCACTCTACATACACTCAAAAATGTAGAAAGTTCCTGCCCAACACAGAGAAAAATGCTTTTGTAGTTTCTGCTATAATCTAGATTAAAAAACCCTTAATGTAAAGTCAAATAAAATTAGAATGTACAAAGAGATGTAAACATCTATAAAATGTATTCAGAGAAGATAGCACAGTGGGATTAGCTAATGGAAATATAAATTTTTCCATACTGAAGAGATAAGGCCTATAGCACACGTGGCCTAAGGGCTAGTTATCACTCCCACTGTAGGTAGGCATATCACATGTTTGTTTAATGTCTAACTGGGATATGCTTATCATATAGTAATGTCTGTCAAGGCCTTGAAGATGCCCTTGAGCAAAAGTCACTTCACAGCTCCAGGTCAAATAAAAAAAAAAAGATCATTTCTAAGAAAGCAATATTTGAACAATTTCTAGAAGATGTTCCCACAGATGATTAGGAAGAGTTGTTTTCCTGCTTTGACACTCACACCCACCATTTCCCTAGAGTCCTTGACTCAACTTTGGAATTGGTTGTTGATTTCCAGCTCCTGCTCTTGCACTGCGTTCTGAATATTTATCCCCTACTGTCTTCTACATGCTCCCAGGATTGCCTTAGGTACCCAGTTGCTTACTTGTGTACTGTGCTGTGTCCCATCAGAATCAGAGGGCCTCCATGCAGAATCCTCCATACTCTCTCAAGATGAGCATAAGCTTTCAACCGTAACTGGCCAGCTGTTACCTTCTGAGACTATGTTTTATATTAGCATAACCAAATCTTGATGATACTTTCCACTTACTCATAGGATTAGATTGAAAATCATCCTAGCAAAGACGGCATCTCCATGGACATGGAATTATCTGTTTTCAAAGCTGTAACTTGTATGAGGCTGCATTGGGCTAAGTAGCTACACCCTTTGTGGAAAGACCTGTTTTCCTCTTACCAGGTAACTCCAATAGTTGGGTGGGCCCAAGGGAAGATTCCTCTCCTCCCAGGCAGCAGTGTTCCCCACTGTTCACTAGAACAAGTATCACTGCTGTAACTGAAACTCTGAGCAGGTTAGGGTGGGTCTCTGGGTGTGAGGGTGAATGAAGGGGTTGAACTGGCTGCCCTGGCTGGCTAGGTGATGGCACTTTTCTTTCTCACTACTCTGTGTACTCCCCCCACCCCGGCACCCCGCAAGTCAGCTTCCTCAGTAAAAAGGCATGGACTGACACTGTCACATTTCTACCACTTCCATGTTCAATACCCCTTAACAGCCCAGGAATCTGAGACTCTGATATCTTAGTCCCCCACCCCTCAAATCATTGGCTGTCATCTATGCTGTGCTATGAACCCCAGTGGTTAGCATTCTACATGGAGGCAATTTTGTGCCTCTCAGTGTGTACAGATCTCATCTGTCAACAGAGTTCTTGCAGTAGCAGAGCCCTGGCCATCACAGAAGCCTCATAAGCTTAGCTATAATTCATGAATTGTAGGTCTGGAATTCTCTTCTGTTTTCTTCAAAGTCTTAGGTGGGCTATTGCCACTCTCAGTGTTCCTTCTCTGTCCCTATCAACCTCCCCCGAATCCCTAAGGGATAGCTTCTTTGCAAGCCCCATGAGACATTCCAGTCATTTACAGTTTGCAATTCTGTACTGGGTATTCAGACTAGATCAATGAGGAGTGGCACCTTCACACCATGGGGAGAGCCTCAGTAGCTGTATGTATCTTGTACTAGAGCCAACATGTGCCTGTGACCCAGGTAAATTGTTCTTCTGCCTGCCCCAGAAAATACCTCAATTCTAGCAGAAAGGTTTTCACTGAGGCTCCCTACATGATTTTCCTCCTGAGAGGAACTTGGTGTTAGGTTCTGTGTATTCTTCAGAACCATTGAATACTTTGGTAGATCTTTTGAGTCCCTCACTATCTGGGAAAACATGCATATCATGCATATTTGTTTTCGATTGTTGATATAATAAATTATAATGAACTTAATGACTTAAAACCATACACAGTTATTATTTTGCAGTTCTGCAGGTCAGAAGTCCAAAATCGGTTCTACTGGGTTAAAGCCAACGCATCAGCAGAGCCAGTTTCTTCAGGAGGCTCTAAAGAAAAATTATTACCTAGGTTCTAGAGGCTACTCCCATTGCTTGGCTTGTGACCCACTTCCTGCACTCTCAAAATCAGCAATGTTGCCTCCCCATGACCTTTCTTCCATGATCTCATTTCCCTGTGACTACAATCTAGAAAAATTTTCTGCTTTTAATGATTATACAATTGGGTCCACCTGGAAAATTCAGAATAATCTCTCCATCTCAAGGTCCTTAATTTTATCAGGAATTTTCTTTGAGTACTTTTTTCCAAGTCCCTTTTGTTGTGTAATGTAACAGATTCTGAAGATAAAAACATGGACATCTTTAGAGTGCTATGATTTAGCCTACCACATTTATTTTTGTAAGAATACAACAAACCAGATTACTCACAAATTCCATCCTGTAAAAGGATAATTTTCCCTCATGCATGTATTCCTGAGCAGATTATAAACCCTGTTTTTGTCCTCTACTATTTAGCTTTGTACCCTGCATACTGAAATCACTCAAAGTCTTTGTTTCAAGAATAAAGATACCCTAGTCTTATGGGGAGAGACACAGTTCTGTTTGTGTGTGTGCTGGGGATGTGGAAGGTTCATAAGAACAGAGAAGATAACTGAAGTTATGTGGGTTAGTCTCTGTTTTCTCTATTCTGTACCATTGGTTTTCCAGTCTATTTTGGTGTCAATACCATGCTGTTTTTGTTACTATTGTTCTGTAGTATAGTTTAAGATCTAGTATAGTGATGCCACTTGCTTTAGCTATTCTGGGTCTCTTATTTTCCAGATGAATTTCATGACTCCTTTTTCTATTTCTATGAGGAATGTTGTTGGGATTTTGATTGGAATTGCATTAAATCTGTATGGTGCTTTCGGTAGTGTGGTCATTTTGACAATATTAATTCTGCCTATCCAAGATAGATCTTTCCATCTTCTAAGATCTTCTTTAATTTCTTTCTTCAGCATTCTGTAGTTTTCATTGTGGAGGTCTTTTACCTCTTTTGTTAAGTTTATTCCTAAGTATTTTATTTTATTTTTTAATGCTATTGTAAATGGGGTAGTTTTCCTTGTTTCCCTTTCAGAGGATTTGTCACTGATATACAGAAATGCCTTTGATTTATGGGTGTTGATTTTGTATCCTGCTACTTTGCTGAATTCATTTACTAGTTCTGGAAGTTTTGTGGTGGAATTTTCTGGGTCTTCTAGTTATAGAATCATATCATCAGCAAATAGTGCTAATTTGAGTTCTTCTTTACCTATCCAAAAATTTACATTGGAGAAAAGATAGCCTCTTCAACAAATGGTGCTGGGAAAATTGGAAATCCATATGCAACAAAATGAAATTAAACCCCTGTCTCCCACCATGTACAAAACTCAACTTAAAGTGGATCAAGGACCCAGCTATCCCATTCCTCAGACTATACCCACAGGATTTAAAAACAGCATACTACAGGGACACAGCCACATCAATGTTTATATCAGCATAATCCACAATTGCTAAACTGTGGAGCCAAGCTTGATGCCCTTCAGTGGATGAATGGATAAAGAAAATGTGGTATATATACACAATGGAATATTATTCAACATTAAAAGAGAATAAAATCATGGCATTTGCAGGTAAATGGATGGAGCTGGAGAATATAATGCTAAGTGAAATTAGCCAATCCCCCAAAATCGAACACCGAATGATTTCTCTGATTTAAGGATGTTGATTTATAATATGCTGCTGGGGGTGGAAGGTTGATGGGAGGATTAAATGAATTCTAGATAGGGTAAAGGGGAAAAGGGGAGGGAAGGGAAGAGAGGGAACATAGGGGTAGGAAAGATGGTGGAATGTTATGGTCATCATTACCCTAAGTGGATGTATGAAGATGCAAAGGATGTGACTCTACTTTGTGTACACCACAGATATGAAAAATTGTGCTCTATATATGTAATATGAATTGTAATGCATTCTGTTGTCATATATAACAAATTAAAATTAAAAAAAAGAAAGAACAGAGAAGATAACACAGACTGTGATCAATTGTCAGTTATCACTGGAGGATCTGGTCTGATTGGGCATGACCTCTGATAGAGATGCCCTGAACTAATGTGTGGAATGTGGAATAACAGGGAAAGATGAGGATTCCATGGCCAAGGTGCTGAGAGAGCAGCTTTGCTGATGAAGCACGCCTGAAGAGTGGGACCTCCATCTGGTCAGAACTTCTAGTCCTAGAAAGCTGTTCTTATCCCACTGATTTTCTGCCTGTCAAATCTGTCCGTTTCGGACACCGTGTTGTTGAAGTCACCAACTATAAAAGAAGATTCAGCTGTTTCTCCTTGCAGTTCTATCAGCTTTTGACTCATGTATTTTGATGCTTTGTTGCTAGAGGCATGCCCATTAAAAATTATTCTGTCTTCTTAGAGAATGCATTTTCTAATCCCTGATAGCTTCCTTTGCTTTGAAGTGCTCTGTCTGAAACCAGTATAGCTATACCCACTTCCTCTTTTTTCCTTTTCTTTTTTTGGTACTGGGGATTAAACCCGGGGGCGGGGGGGGGGCTTTACCACTGAGACATCACCACCCCTTTTTATTTATTTTATTTTAAATATTTATTTTTTAGTTGTAGTTGGACACAATACCTTCATTTTATTTATTTATTTTTGTGTGGCGCTGAGGATGGAACCAGGCCTGCATACGAGCGAGGCGAGTGCTCTACCGCTGAGCCACATCCCCAGCCCACCCCCTTTTATTTTTATTTTGAAACAAGGTCTCGCTAAGTTGCTCAGAGTCTCGCTAAGTTGCTGAGGCTGGCTTTGAACTTGCCATCCTCCTGCTTCAGCCTCCTGAGCTGTTGGGATTACAGGACTGTGCCACCATGCCCAACTCCCCTTTCTTTTTAT